CGGCAAAGGCAGCAATTCGCAGGGCGCAGAACACTGACCGCCCTTATCATCATGGCTGCGACATCACGGCTGTCAGAAACGCTATGTTTGCATTGCTCTTCATTTTGCTCAGACTTTGTGGATTCAGCTGGTGGTCCTCGCCGAGTCCTCCGCCCAGGAAAAATCATTCGCAAGTTGCTATAGGATATGATATCCAGCAATTGGATTGTAATTTCACCCCCCCCCCCCCATTGATGGAGCTGTCCCTTTGGAGGCTGTTGTATATTGTTTTTATGCCAGTGTGCCGGCACCCGATTTTTGGCAGGTTCCAGCTGAGTGTTTGGCAGCGTGGTCTAAGCGCACTTCAATCCCTGATGCTCATGGACTGGATTGCTGGTTGGCCCACGCTTGCGACATCTTGCTCCCGCTCTCCTTTCGAGACTTGTTTCGTTCTGTGCACGCTGCAGGTCCTGCTGCTGCGCAGTGACCCGCCGGAGCCCACCAAAGGTAGCACCTGGCGGGAGCCTTGGCATGCTGTTCAGAGCCAGAGAAGTCAACACGATTCATTCCCCGGCTAGGGCACTGTGGACACCACAGACCTCTGGGCGACCAATCCATTGGCCACCCCGCATCCAGCCGTGAGTTTGCTGACCAATCATCCTTGATCAGGTTCACGACTGGCAGCTCATTGATTTGTATGCCGCACTGTTTTCTCACACTCTGAGGTTTGTTCACCTTTTTGGGGCAAGGCAGCCAAGCAAGAATCGCAGCCAGCATCACACCTGCCTTTCATGCCCGCTAGGAGGAACAGGCTGGATGCTGACATCGGATGAGTTTGTACCACCGACTTATGTGCATATGCCGCCCGCATGCGCAACCGCAAACAACACGCGCGCACGCACATGCACGCGCACACTTCCACGCGCACGCGCACACATTCACGAGCACCCACCCACGCACCCACCCACCCACCCACCCACAAATCCACACACAACCACTCACACACACCACACCACACCGCACCACACCACGCCACACGCCACGCGCCACACGCCACACGCCACACACCACACTACGCCACACCACACGCCACACACCACACACCACACGCCACATGCCACACGCCACACAGACCACACCACACCTCTCCAAACTACACCACACACCACACGCAGACCACACCACACCACACCACGCCACACCTCTCCACACCACACACACACCACACCACACACCACACACACACATGCGCGAGATCAGCAGTTGTCAAAGTCCAAGTTGCCGGGTCGCTTCCTTTTCTTCAGCCCACTTGATCTCCGTGCCAAAATCTCGGGCACGCGCGGAAATCCTCCCGTCCTGAGGCACCACCCCTGCCTGCTGCGGGCTGGATCCCTCTTTGAAGAGACTTTAGTGGGCACCACCTGCCTGCTGCGGCGCAGCCACTTCCAGGAGCTGTCGCGTTTGGGAGTAAGCCAGAAACTGACCCCGTGTCCCGTGTTCATCACCTGCAAGCCGCGTTTGGGATGATTTGAGAGTGGTAAGTGGGACCAGTGGGGAGTCAGGTCAAGAGGAACTTAAACAAGGACGGTTGAACAAAACGTCTTCATGGTTGGACAGGTCTTGCTTTGGCTAATTCGCTAATGATTCTGATGCTCCACAGCGTCCTTAGTTTCTGTGCTTAGCTGCCAGCCAATTCCCCAAAATCGACCGATCAAGGCATTTGTGTATTGTTCGTTACCACCACTGGGCAATTCTGAATTTTGACAAGCAACGAGCTCGTAGTCTTAATTTCCCTGGGGTTCAAGGCGGCAAACACGTTAGAATTACGCCCTCCAAAGCTGGAGGGTAGCCAATTGCAGGAAAAAGCCGTTACCATCACTCCAGACAGGTGACTGTGGACATCCATCTCCGTATGAATGGGTGCCTATGAATGGGTGCCCACGCCGAATTGTCAACCATTTGCAAACAATCACCCTTGCACTTTCCCTCAGACCTTTCAGGCGTCGGGCTGAATCTGCAATCTGTATCGGGGCAGCTGGAAGCTCCGCGTTGCTGGCTATGACTTCTATCGAGGGACAACAAACTAAAGGTGTCCTTTTCAACCAAAACGGGCCCCAAAACCTCCGATGGGTCCTTATGATGTCCTCGCGCCGTCCCCCAGCCCGCCGGCCAGGAGTGCCCCTTCCCACGGGAAGCGGCCGAGAATCACTGGCTGGCCTTGAGTCTGGAGCCACGCGCTCAACCGGGCCACCGAAGGGGTACAACCACTGACAAGTGCGCACGTGTTTGTTTGCCAACGCTTTTCCCACGTGTTGTTTGTTTGTTTGGAATGGCATACTGGCAGGGAGTGTGATTGTCAATTATGCACCAACTGAATATAATTTGCATTGATACCGCGAGAACACCCTAGGCAGTTTGCATTTCCATGTGAAATGCGATGGTTGCTCCAAACAGCGAGATCGGCACGAGGTAGTGTGCAGCAAACCATGCGCCCTTTGATGACACGATCAAGTCACAATCTCTCTAATGCCGCAGAAGCTTGTTGTGCATACAACCGGCTTCAAAAGCCTAAGCATGGTGTTTCCCTGCGTTCCCCCAAGCTGCACATCTTCCAAGTGCAGTGGCATCTGACGCACCAGTGAGATATTCATGATCTTCAGTGTTGAAACCTGCAGTAATTACTTCGTCATGGGGGCTGGTGGGAGGGAGAGGAGGGGCTCCCTCCGCCTCCCCACCCTCCCCCCCAGCCCCCATGACTTCGTGTGGCAGCTGTCCAAGGGCTCATTGAAAACGATCTTCTGGTGGGGTTTCCCGCGTGCCCTGACTCGGCGTGGCCGAGTTAGCACCTCCAGCTCCTGAGGCCACATCAGCACGCGGCCAACCTGGCAGACGTGCTCGTAAGGACCCGGCGGGGCTCCCAGAGCCCACCGGATTCACTATGGGCCAGGATCAATACAGGGCGTCTGGTCGGGGGTAGCTAAGGTAAATTGCCCAAGGGGCTCCAGCTGGACGTTTGCCATTAAGCATTGCCTCGCATCAAGGATTGTTGGAAAGCAGGTGTCCCATTGAGCACCCATGCTGAACTTAACATGTTGGACAAGATGGAAGCAAAGGTACCAGGTTTGCAGCGGCCGAACCATGCATCGTGCCTTTCTGCTTGGGAAGTTTCAAGTTTGGTGCAGGGTTTGCCGTTGAATTATCAACTTCCCAGCTACGAGTGTTGGGCGGCCGTGGACTCTGCGACTTTGCCACCCACCAGTTGACTCTTTTTGGTGTGCAAGTTAGTCAGTGGAACTGTTAGCTGGGGCAGGGGCAGCGGCCAAGGTCGAGTGCAATACTAGCAGCCTTAAGCTTCTGTAACACTGAGTGCAACTCTTGATCAAAGTTTGTTTACTCCTGGTGATTTGGCAGCAGCTTCGAGACACTGTGAGATCACACTTTCCAGCAATGAGATGAAGCCTACTGGAAGTTGGTTGAAGTTTACGGTTTCAGCGGCAAGGCCAGTTTCTGCAGAATGTGTCTTGGACCAGCGAGTGAATGTCCGACAGAATGAGTGGACTTGTTGCAAGGTCCATCACCGTCCTTGCAAGTGCATTGTGCGCGAAGCTTCTGCGTGCGAATCTTCGTACACCATGGGCTGCGCGTGTGGTTGGTGCCCTTGGGCTTGAACTGCGCATGAGAGGTTTGACTCAGGGCCCGCTCGCCGGGATGGAGACTGCAAGTTGGGAGTCGCACAGTCGCAGTGCGCCGGCATCCGCTTGCTCAGACCCTCACTCTGCTAGCAGAGTTCGGAGCTGGAGTTCTAGCCAAGGAAGCGCCAACACAAAATAAGGCAGCATACGCATTTGTGTGGAGTTGCTTGCAGCAGAACTCGCAGCAAGAATGACCTCCATGTGCAGGTTGGACTGGCTATATGCCATCGTGTTCAACTCAGCACGCAGCGAAAACCGATGTTGCGGCGCCCATGCGGGCCCTTTCTGCTTTCTCCCCTCTTCCTGGTCGCCGACGATCGATAAGCTGCGTTCAAGACCTGCGGAGCCCTACGTACAAGGCCTAAGCCCTGCTGAACTCATGAACATGTCTAGAGCATACTCTTCAACCAACTTCTCTTTTCCGACCCTTTCATCCTGCTCTCAGCCATGGAACCTGCACGGCTGCCGCCTTTGCGCAGCTTGACCTGGCACGGCATATCTGCGACACAGGCTGGCTTGCCCGCAGAGAGTTGGACTCCTAATGCCCTAAACCGGACGACATCAGGGTTTCCAAACGAGCAGTTGTATGAGCAAGGTTCATCAGGGATCGATTTGGGTAGTGCGGTATCGATTTTTGCTGGTAGATTGTAGCTATTCATAAATGATGTGCAGATACATATATATATATATATATATACATATGGTATAATATTTACATTGATGGATGAAGCACCCACAGAGTGGAATCCAAAAGGGTGGCGTTGCTCAGAACGTGTTGAATCCAGTGAGATTTCAGTAGGGTAGGAAAGACTGCATGTGGCTGGATGGCAAGTTTAGGCGCACGTAGTGCCAGGAGCACGACCGCTGGATGTTGCTGGGCTCGCTTAGATTAGTCCCTCAGGACGAGCAAATGAGCATGTCTGAAATCTTGGAGGCATCCGAGCAGCCAGTTCATTGAGGTTTTGGAGCGAAGACTCTTGGACCAACATGTGAGCAGGCGACGGATTTTCCTGTACTGGCTATGCTGAAGTGCCTGTCAGTGCGGCGGTCTTGCCAGAATATTGGTTAACAAGAAGTCCTGCGTACCGGGAAGGCTTCCGTTCAGGCAAGAAGGGGATTTACTTCTTTGCGCAGCATCTCGGCTCATATCAACACCAGCATAGCCAAATCCACGCCATCTTCTAGCCCCTACATGTTTTTAGGCCCATCATATTCAAACTGGATGGTTTGTTTGTCATTGGTTTCCCTTGAAACAAGCTCAAAACGGGCCGCTGGTGGGCTCGACCCAAATCCCCAGGCCGTTCACAGGAGTCCTTTGCCCAGCGTTGCATGGCAGATGATCCCAGCTCGGCTGTCATGCGGGTGACCTTCGCCCTGAAGGAGCGGATTGGTGTGCACCTTAAACATAGAGGACTCTTGAGGATCGGATTGGTGTATTGGCAGGTTCGGAAGACGAAAGGAAGTTGCTGTGTGTGACGCGACAAGAAAGCAGAGGAGATGTTGTGAGGAATGTTGCTGCCCCTCCCGCAGGGTGCTGTGGATTGAGTTAGTTGGAGTGCCATGTCACAAACGCAACTTGTGTTCAAAGGAGCATCGCCAAGTGTGTAATTTCATGAATGTATATATAGGTATATTATACATGGATACACAAATGGCCGTGTTTGTGCGTATTTCCTTTAGAGCCTCCGGCTCAGTCCGCCGACATTGTCCTCTCCCTTTTCTCCTTCTTCCTCTCTCCCTTGTCTCCCTCTGTGTTCTGTCGTCCTCTCTGCCTCCATCTGCTCCCCATCCTCCCCATCCCCCCAAGCCTGTCTCTCCTCGATCTGCCTCTCTCTGTCTCTCTCTCTCTCTCTCTCTCGCTCTCTCTCTCTCTCGCTCTCTCTCTCTCTCTCTCTCTCTCGCTCTCTGTGTTTCTCTGTCTCTTTCTGTCTCCCTGTTTCCTTCCTGTCCACGCCCCTCTACAGAAAAAGGGTACCCTAACTCGAACCTCTCTACTCTCTCACTTTCTCGATCTTTCTCTCTGTCTCTCTCTCTCTCTCTCTCTGTCTTTCCGCGTCTCTCTTTCTCAGTCTCTCTCTTTCTCTCTCTCTCTGTCTCTCTCTCTGTCTGTCTCTTTCTCTGTTTCTCTGTTTCTCTGATTCTGGCTCTGTCTCTGGCTCTGTCTCTGTCTCTCTCTCTCTCTCTCTCTCTGTCTGCATTGCAGCGTCACGTCCCCCCTGAGTTGCCTCGATGTCCGGGCACTGCCCCTTCATCACCCTGAACTGTCATCTCACTACTGGTTTTCCCTTGATTTCCCCTTCATGTCCTTTTCACGTTTCCCAGGATGTCCTGGTCATGTCCCTTCCATGCCTTTCAACTCCCCCCTTCAGGTCCCTGACATTTTCTCGGTATGTCCGCTTCATTTTCCATGTATGTCCGTTCCTCCGGTCGTGTCTTGTGCTTGGTTTCCCTCTCATTCTCCCTGCACTCCCCTTGATTTCATGTCTGTCCCTTGCATCCCTTTCAGTTCCCCTTTGTTTCCCTTTCATTTCCCGCTGCTTTCCTGTCATGTCGACTTCCTATTTCCTCCCCTCATTTCTTTGCACTTCCTTGTATTTCCCCTTTGCTCCCCAATATGTCCCGGAAAAAACACAGTTTTTCCAGCGTGTTCGCAATTAGGATGTCCAAAAACACAGAGTTGTTCCAGATTTTCGGCAAAAGGAGGCAGGAACCCCAAACCAGCAAAGAGCCGGCAGGGGGAATCACCGGCTCCCCGAAGACTACGTTTAGTGGAACGGCATCAAATTGCCGCGCGGTCCGTGGGGGGGGCGGGGGGGCCCCCCACGTATCAGACGTGGGGGGGGGGGGTGTTAGGCGGGGGGGTTATCCTCTATCCTCTCTTAGGTGTCCGACACGCCGAGCAATGTCGGCGGATATATATATATATATATAGACATACATACACAGTTGCGAGTGCTCTTGTTTGCGGAAGACTAGGGTGAAAGACCGGGCGGAAACTTGTTTGTACATGCCGGGAGTGGCTTTGAGCGCAGTAAATATCCCAGTGTGGTGGACTTATTGTTGGCATTGCAGACTGAGCGAGCTCCATGCTGGAGCTAGAGACTCTCGGGCAAGCATGGGCCACGCTCAGTTAACTGTTCAGCTTTTGATTTCGCGGATCTTTGGTTTATACGGCTACCCTCCTTCCCACCAACATGGCACCTGATAGAGGGCCCCTAGAAGAGGACAATGATCCAGGTACCCTCCCACAGGTGCTACGTTAGTGGGAGGGAGGTTACACCTTTTGGCCGCACGAACAGACGAACAGCGACAATAGTATATCCAGAAGCGGACTCGATGCGGTGAGCTTGTTCGGCCTTGGGGCCTTTGGGGCACGGGAACTTAGCTTTATGTTGCAACAGAGTGTTTAATTCGTTCGAGTCCTAGGATATTAGTGTTTTGTTGTTGCTGTTGTTTGTTGTTGTTTGTTTTTTGTTGTTTCCCGTTTCGCCTTTTTGATATTCGCACCAACCCACGCTGAGCTGATGTGCTGGGAAGATTCTTGTGCATTTAAGAGCTTGACTGGGGCTGAACATCAGCCCTTTTGGCACCTGTACCTGGTGGATTGATTGTATTTGACATTCATTGTGGATAGTGACTTGTTGCGAGTACGATATGAATGGTGTTTTGAGCAAGGATGTAGAGGCGGCTCGGAAAAGGTTTCCTCAGTGAAACAAACAACTTCCCTCAAACAGACCAGAATAAATAGTCGCCCTTCCTTTGCGAATGGTAAAATTGCAAAACAAGGGACGGCTTCCTTTTGGAGTGGCTTCCTGATTTAATTCCTGGAAACCATGCTGAATAAGCAAATGGATGAAGCTGAATGCGTCAAGTGTACCCTAGTGAAACACCAAGACAGTGACTTTTCTGTTGGATCATACCCAGCAACACACGAGAGATCTGAAATTGCATGTGTGTGTGTGTGGGTGCGCGCGTGCGTGCGTGCGTGCGTGCGTGAGTGCGTGAGTGCGTGCGTGCGTGCGTGCGTGTGTGCGTGCGTGCGTGCGTGCGTGCGTGCGTGCGTGCGTGCGTGCGTGCGTGCGTGCGTGCGTGCGTGCGTGCGTGCGTGCGTGGGTGCGTGTGCGCGTGCCTGCTTATGAACAATTGTGAAGAATCCACTGACTTTGAAACATGTTCAACGAGTTAGTCGGCACCTGGCAAAGGCGTCGATTGCTTGGCCTCTGACCGCTTTCAGGATAAATCCTCACGGAGTCGGCTGCTGAAGTGCCTCGTCAGCGATGGCCAAATTCACGTCTGTTGGGACGAAAGATCTAGGGACACCAGCTACTTTCTGCATGGCTGTAGGCTTACCTCCTGTTGTCAGGGGACCCTCATGGGTGGTAGGCCCACTTTCAGGCCCTGGTCAGTTCTCCCGATTTATTACTGGCGGTTGGATTGGAGGAAATTGAGGACGGCATCGCCTATTGGTTCAACTCCGATGGTCCACTGGCTCAAGTTTGATTGCATCTGAGTATTCCGAAAACAACCCACATCACGATGCGGGAGAGGATCCATAACTGCCAGGAGAAACATCACCATGGCCAATTATTTTGCCTGCCAAAGCAATACATCCGGGCCACTTTTGCTCTGGAAGATGCAGCCCGCAGCACCGGTTCCTGTAGTCATGCATTCCGTTCTCACCCAACAAAAAGCAACAGCGCCCTTTGCATTGGTCTACCCTTGGTCCAGAAGAGCCCAGCTTCCTGAGTCCTGCAATTGGGTTCGAAGTCTAAGTAAACGGCATTCAAGATCAGGTGCTTCTACGGACGGCAAGGGAAGGGCAGGCCGCCTGTGAAGAGGGAACACTGCTAAGACCTTTATCATATGCTTCTCTTCAGCGAGCAGCGTGTTCCTGAATGAAGGCCTCGGCCTGTCGCATCTCAGGGCAAAGTGCTGCGCTTTCTCGGACAGAGTGCCACTTACGAGGATGCGATACTCCAGTCGGACTTGACGCCTGGCGGTGAAGTTGCTTCCTTGGTTTTGACTACAATGTGGCCTGAGGCAAAATTCAAAACCTCAGGTAAGGGCAATGCGGAAGCTTCGGGCCCAGGATGAGTAGATCTTCAACAAGCATTGCAATGGGCTTTTTTGAAGGGCACCCCCGTGTTTAAAGGGAGGCCAAGAGGGAAACCGCAACTTTTCACGAAGGGTCCCGCCCGATTTTGACACATGTGGCTCCATTCCACGGATTGGCACCGAGCTGAGGCTGCTCATTCTGGAACCTCCTCTTTCTCTTTCTGCAGAGCCGGTTTTGGACCGCCCGGGGCTCGATGCTTCGAGTTGTCTTGGGCCTTGTGATTCCAGAGCCCTAAATTGCGAAATTTGTGGTTTGTTTTACCTCAAGCGCCATCGATTGCCCTTGGTACTGGGAACTGGAACTGGGCGGGAGGAAGCCGGATCGATCCCATGGGTTAAAAGAATGCCCATTTGGGGAGCCGTGTTTGGCAATGTCTTGAGGGGTTCTTGTTATGAATCATGTAAACAGAACCAAGTTTGAAGAACAAAGATGTCGGGGCAAGGAGATGACACATGGAAATTGTGCGGCAATTGATTTGACGGGCGCGCATGAGAAACCTTACCTTGGATTCCAGTGCAGTTTCTGTTTCGTCCAGTCTTCTAGAAAGCTCGCCTTCCGATGGAAATCTACTGGGCGAGTCGGGAATGATTGCGGCCTTTACTTCTCTGCAACAGCCCATTGCGCACCCAGGCGTTCTTCATCTCCATGCCCTGTGCCCTCTCTGCATGCTTGCTGAAGCTGTATCAGAATCACATTGATGCTTGGCTTGAACTGGCTGCTGGCTGTTCGGCTGAGTTAGTGGTATCTGAATGAACGGTGGAATGGGGGGCGGCCACTTACGCAGGAAGGCTACGTAGAAAGTCAGCTTGGAAGTTTCCCGTAGGCAGGGCAAATGGCTTTGGCAACACAGTGGACATGTTTCCGTTCGATTTTGGACAGAATATTACAGCCTGGTTCAGGGCTCCACTTTTTGACTACAAGATAGACTTAAACCCAGGGTGTTTCTCCTGGGGGAATGAACCACCCGTGGGTTTGAGTCTACACTATTTGGTAGTCAAAAAGTGGAGCCCTGGCTGGTATGATTGGTGCTAGGTAGGTCCGTGGCGTTGCATGGGAGCAGACGGTGACTCTGGTATGTACTTGTGCCCTGATTTGACCAGCATGGGCCAAGGAGGGTTCTCGCTGCTCAGCGGACGCCAGCAATATGTCATTGTTCGTTGTTTTCGGGATGAATGGTTGTGCATTGGCAACCACCTGAGGATGCTGGAAAGATGTCGCTCGTCCTGCAATTATGGAAAGATATGAAAGCGTTGGATTTGGGTTGGATTGTTGTCAAAACGGACCAAGGTAAGTAAACCCCAAAAGTCATGTTGGCAGCAGCACTATCCTTGAGGTAAACAGCAGAGGGATGGCTTCTCCGCCCAACCAGGGTCATCACCTACAATATGATGTGACTGGTTGGCTGTCACATGGAGTCTGCGTTGCTTTTGGCCGTGCAGGGAAGGCGTCATCAACGATGACCAGGCCTACAACGGCATCGTGGTACTGATCAGTTTTCTGATTGTCTTCCGCACCCAGACAGGTTACCACAAGCCACTCGTCATGGGTCTAGTGCACAATGACGATGGCACTTGGGGCGCATCTAGATGACTTGTTTCTGCGTTGGTCTCAGAGGCTTTTGAGTTGAGGCTGGCACTATTCTGAAAGATCGGGAAGCAAAAGCACTTTCTCAAGCAGCAGCCGAGGTGTTGCAGGCACAATGTATGGGGCAACTTTGAAGCTCATCAATGTAGTGCCCGCCTTTTTGCAGGCATGTTTACTTCTCTAACAAGATGGGCCGACTGGGAAGGCCAATGGTCGACCCTCAGATTGGACTGTGGCACTCGCCAGGAAGGCCCAGGTGCCCATTTTGTAAGATACCTGACATCTGAAGGAGACTTGGGGATTCATGGAGTACCCCTTTTAGGCACATTCCGTGTTTCGTGGTCGAAGACGTATGTATTTCTTTGTGCCAGTTGGCATTTTGGCATTCAGCCACGTTGTTCGTGTCCCAATGTTTCTCGAGCAACAGTGGCCTGAAACAGGTGTCAGTTTGGGGCGATGACCCAGGTGACATGTACAGTTGTTTAGTTCATGGAGCCCTCGGCTTGGTCCATCTCCCATGCTGAGTCAGAGACTTTGAGTGTGCACAATTGCGTGATGGAGTGGCTGCTTGGAGGGAGGCAGCTACGTGTCGTTTCGTTTTTTGCCTTTGTTCCTTTGTCTTTTGGTTGCCTGTTGAACTCGCACAAAGGTTCTCTTGTCTGACAAATGTGCAAGTGAAGGCCGGAAATTGCTCTCGGGATTCCACTTTAACTTGGAACAAAGGGGTTCTGAGTTCTCGCCGTTGCCAGTCTGCTTTTGGGGCATTGAATCTGTTGCTCCATTATTTGTATCAACTAACGGTGGGCGGGGGGTAGCCAAAACAAGTGAGCATTCAGGAAGTTCAGGAATACCTTTCCCTGTACACGAATCCCCCCTTTCTAAGATGCCGCAGCCGCTCAGGTTTTGGGAAGGCACCGATCTGGCCTATCAGCTGATCGGAGATGCTTGGCCATGCGCGAGAGGTCAGAGCAAAGGCATGAACATAAGCGAAAAGGGGAATACCATTAAGATGCTTGGTGGACCGTGTAAAGTGTAGGTGAGCCACGCGCTCGAAACCTGGGCAAATGAGGGTTAGTAAGGGACAATCCCAACCATAAATAGCTGCGGATCTCCGCCTTCTTCATTCTTTACATGGTTCTGGGTAGATTATTTTATTGCCAAGTTTTGATTATGACTCAGGTGGCTTCTTGATGTCCACTAATGGAGCACCAAAGAAACTCAACACTCTTGTTCATACTGTAGACGAGGGTCACTGAAATGGTGCCCTAGTATGAATGAAGCCCTCCTAAAGAATGACTAGCCAGCTCCAAACCCCCTGAAATAATGACGGGATAAATTTTGATTTGTTGGAGTCCCCTCTCCGAATGAAATGCATACAAAATCAAACCAGATGTTCCAGCCAAAATGCTCGAACAAACATGATTGAACCTCATCTCACATTTGATTGACACTTTTTCAAGGCCCTAGCCAAACGACCCAACACTAAATCAAATGGAAACTCTCATCCAGCAAAGATAAATCTAATGGAAATTCAGCTACAGCAATTCAAATGAAAGCTCATATCCAATCAGCTGGAAACTAAAATTTCGCAATACCAAATCCAGTGGGCAATCCTATCCAGCAAATACGACAGGACATAGAACCGCCAATCCAGCAACACAAAATCAAGTGGGCACTAAAATCCTTCAAGTCCAATCTCAAGTGGAAACTCAGAGTTGGCCCCAGCAAAACTGCTCAATTCTAAGCCAATTGATTTGGGGGGATCAGCTGATTCAGGGGGATCCATTGTTGGGCGGGGGGAACGATTAATCAAAGGTCACTCTTAGTACTTAGTGGGATGAGACATCCATATTTTGACAAACGCTTCGCCACTTGGTCGAAGGAGTCAAGGGACCTAATCATACTGCCGATATACTTACAGTGCTTTCAGTGGGCTATGTGCCCTAGACGCAAGTGCCAAATACCCGGCCAATATATTATACCGCAGCTTAGGGTGCTACCCGCTGCACCCCTAATAAGCACATGTTGCAATAGTGTACAATTCCGAAGTATATGTTAAGTGAAGCAACCACAACCATTAGCACATAGCAAGTCAATTGTTTAAATATTTACGTGTTCCTCACTTGCAATTTGACGGAAGCCCGCTAATGGTAGCCAAAGCAAGCCCTGATGGCATGTTGGTAACGCTTTGCCTTTTTGAGGCGGCCTCAATCAACAGGAGTGTGACTTTTCTGCCCTTTCGGGCCGGGATGGTGTATCGTCGGAGGTCGCGCGCGTTTCCTTATGCTATTCATTCAGATTTCCGCGTTGTGACACGCATCAAAAAACATACGTGCATGACATTGCACGGCCAGGGTAAATAATCCCCTGCAAACAAATGAGCCACAAACAAAACCCGGGTAGATGAAGGTTAGTAAGGGACAATCCCAACCATAACTAGCTGCGGCCGCCTTCTTAATTCTTTACATGGGTCTGGGTAGACCATCTTAGTACCGAGTTTTGATTGTGACTCAAATGCGGAAGCCAAGCGAGGAATCTCCTCGTGGGTTGCACCCAAGCGGATATTCCTCCTTGGCAGGAGTCGCACCGACGACCTCGCCCTAAGCGGGTGCTCCAGCAACTAAGCGACAATGCCCAGACGGTTTTGTCCAACGGAGCACCAGAAAACTTTAAGATAGTTAACATTTCCAACTTGAGCATGACATACACAAACCACAATCTAAACAGCAGCTAGTTGACTTACCATCATTTGCTGCACAAATGGTTGCTGTTTGGATTCCACGATTTCCGGTTCCATGTTCATGTCCAGGGGGAAGGGCTGGTTGGGTGGCAGCCGGCTGAGGACATCAGCGACGGCTGCAGCGACCTCATCGCCTACTGTGAAGGCTCCAAGCTCGATGACCACGAAGTGCAGGCACTGCCCGTGGAGCGATTTGTCTTCAACCTGGTGGTGGGTTTGAGTTGTTTTGCTGGGTGTCACATAAGCTTCCATACAATAATTACTAATTTTGAAATGAAAGGGCAAAAGCGCCTCGGCCCTAGCAAACCCAAGCCTCGCTTCAGAAGCCATCATGGATAGTGCGTGCCTAGAACTTCACAATGAGCAGTATCTCATAGAGTTTTTAATTGCTGCTTACATGACATGTCGCTTGGAGCCATGTGCAATGAGAACTTTGTCCTTTGGTGATGTCTTGCCTGCAGGCGTTTCAGCATTTGCTCATCCGTCGGGCGCCCAGTGCTCACACACATTGCTGCTATTGAAATTCTTGTTGTTCTGGGCGTGGTTGGGGTTTTGGCTGCGGATTTGGCTGCGGTTTGGGTTGTGGTGTTTGTCGTTGTTGTCGTCGTTGTTGTTGTTTCGTTGTTGTCATTGTCACCGTCATTTTCAGTGTTGTTGTTAGTGTCTTCGTCGTAGTGGTGATGATGCTGGTGGTGGTGGTGGCGGAGATGGTGGTTGCGTTTGTTCCGTTTCTGGTTTTGCTTGTTTTTGCGTTTGCTCTTGTGTAGTAGTGTTACGTTTTGTTTGTTGTGTTTTCTGGTTCTAGTTACTAGTTGGTTATTGCTCCTGCCTTTGCCGCCACTGCCTTGATTGTTTTATTGTCACCATAAGTTCGTTTGTGGTGCTGTTCTTATGTATTGTGCGTATTGGTGGCACTCCCAAAGGCTATGTAACATCCTGGTCATCCATACTGGGAATCTATGACATGTACATTTGGACATGAATCGGAATAACCAGGCACTCAAGAACGAAGCATTCATGCACAGGTCGCTTGATGTGTCAGCCAGTTTGCTGTAATTCTTGCACATGCACATTCCATGTGGCATGCGTGCGAATCAATACAGTGTGCAAGGCAATTGCATGTCTAGCGTGTACTCCCCGTCATATGTCCATGTATGTCCATGTACATAATTGTGTGCTGAGTTGTTTTTTTCATGACCGGTCAAAGGGGTATTTTACAAAGCTCACGTGATCGTTGTGCGCGTCAACACATGTACACTCAACCAAGCTTCATGCATTGCCTGACTTGTCAGGGAGCTTGCATACTTGCCAAACAACATTGTAAGATTGGTGTCTGTTCTGGTGCCCTTGGCTTGCTTAAGGAGACGAACTGGAAGCCCGGTTTGGTGAAGCCACTCGCCAATGCCTGAGGCCTCGCCAGCCTCTTGTCCGCGGTGTGCTTCGCGGAGTTGGCCGGCGGAAGCCTTTCTTACGAAGGCGGGGGGGGGGGGGGGTTGGAGCAGCAGACCAGGTGCCCTCCCAGCCAACTTCGAACTCGGGCGGGGGAAAGTTGTGGAGGGTATGTGTTTGCGTTAACACGGACCCTCTGGTTCCATGTTGTTTGACAGAAGGGTGTCAAGCGACACGAAATCAAGATGGTCCTCCAGTTCAAGCATTGCAGGCAAGGTTCGGAACTCAGCGTAGGCAACCAACATGCAAAACCGTACTAGTAGCAAGAGTATTGTGTTTGACACTGAAAGCCACGGAAAGACTTGGCCCCGCACTCAGATCCTTCAGTGCCGACTCAGTTCGCGGAGTATGAACTGGCCTGGGTCTCAGTATGAGCGGGTGTGATGTGGGAAACCGAGGTCTGGATTGCCAGGGCTGTGAGATGTGTCTACCGCATGGTGGCGAATTGATGGCCTCGAAAGCAAGTGTGAGGCTACTATTTCCAGGCATCCCTAATGGAATGGGTAGCCTTACCGCTGGTTGGCTGGTGCGTCACATGCATCACCAGTGTCGCGTCTTCAGTATCATCGTTGGGTCATTTCTGGGTCCTCAGCCGGTGCAGATTGAGTGCGCTGCTTGTGATCTTGGTGAAAGAGGTTCACCAGTGGTGCCGGGTGATTCCTGGCACTAGGATAGGTTAGGCTGATGTAGATGAGCGCTCAGATGGTATGGGATTTCATGGCTGATTGGAGTTTCAATTCTAATCCTCGCTGATACTGAGCGGCCTGTTGCTCCGGGTGCCTGCAGGTGCTAGATTGGGCACTCAGGGTGAGGTTTGGGCGGTGGGGGTCTTAAGCAGAGTGCTTGCTCAGTGATTGATGTTCGTTTCGGGGCGTTTCGCATAGATTGCAAGGCATCGGGCATGCCACAAAACTTATAAGTATAGAAGCTTGCATGCAAGATCTGTGCGCCTGCCTTTTTCTGTTTCATGAGCCCGTAGATGTTTGGCTGAAGTTGAAGAACCAAAATTTCAAGGTTGGGTGAAGGCTCAGAGAGATCGGTGCTGAGATCGACTTTAACGGCTTGGACGACTTTACCAAGACCTTCATGGCGGAAGGTAAGGGCTCGCCTGAGGTGGTGTACCAGTGGATTCAGATCCTCCTTTGCCCCTTGGCTAAGAAGGCCTTTCGACAGGGGTCCTTGCACTGGGCTTAACCTGTCGCAAGAATTGAGGTACTCCCAAAATCAAGAGACCAGTTGTGAGGATCCCAGCATTCTCTCGCAGAGTCCAAAAGCAAGCGTTCACGCTTGCCCTTCTGGAGATCGCAACCATCATCTTTGAGGTCAACTGTAAGAGTCACTCACCCCGTGTATTTGTCAGTTTTGTTAGGGCTGACATGTACAATGAACACACTTTGAGGAATTTCAGTTTCTCCTCCAACTCGCACAGTGATTCCAGTTACCACCATAGGCAACCAGGTTCTACGTGCTTTCCCTGGTTACCTACTAGCATCTCAACTGGAAGCACGGCAGCTACGTGAAGCCCCGGCGAGGCCGCGCCAACAACATGGGCACTTTTGGCGTGCCGCCGCCAGTGCTGACGCGCGCCTACCAAGACATGGGCCTCTCCATGATTCGATTTCATCAGGCCATGTGACTGTGAAGTCCGGGAGGTGGTGCGTTTGTTTTCTTCTTGTTTTGTTTCTTCTTTTTTTTTTTTCTGTGGTGCATTTTGCTTGGATGTTAGGACTTTAACTTTTTGCCAACAAATGGGTTTTCCATGTTTTCCATTAAACCACTGACAGTTAAACTTTTAGCAGGGGAGCAGACCGCAACCGAGTTTTGGAGAGGCAGTTCCTTGAACATTTACTAAAAAAGGGGTGCCCTTGTTCCCATGGCCACTGGCGATCTGGGTCTTATATCTGGGCTTCATGCTGGGAGGGGTGCATAGAGATGACGCAACCCGGCTTGATCCGCCAATCGTCAAGGGCTCCCGGATTGAGCCAACCATTTGGAAGGCTTCCTATCAGGCACCACTGTGGAGGGTTGTAGATTCTTACACTTCCTGCCCAGCCACTTTTTTCAGGGGATCATCCATCAGTTGACTGCTTCGTTCAGAGTCTGTACCGGCTTCCTTGTATGTCCGCATGTCTATTGTACTATCACGAGCATGAGCACGAACTGATGATTGATGTAAATTACATTAAACCAACGTACAGCTGTGGGGAAAGATCAGTGCATATCCGTCTCAAGAACCCAATGAGCCGCATCTGAGTTTGTTTTTGGTTGTTTTCTATGAGGCTTTTTGAGAGTTCCTTGTACCCTTCCTGGGTAACCTGTGCCAAGACTAATTCAAGCAGCATGGCATGGCATGCCGTTGCCCCCATACCGCTCAAGTCGACAAGCGGCATTCCTGCACCAAGAACACAGGGGACGCCGGGGAGGAAGGCATTGTCCACTTTCGCTAACCTTGAGGAACGCCGGGTCACCTCTTACTGATGCTGAACATGTAGCCATATGCAGATATGCAGCGTACTTGCCTTGTTACATCATATGTTCCTTTGCATAGCTAGTCCGGATCAAAGGCACTAGATGCTTCGAGTCTCAGCGTCAGGCCATTTGATTTCTCTTGGTGGCAACAGCTCATGCTTTGTCCAGTGGTTATGATGCTTCGGTTGCACCTTGTTCAATATCGTGTTTGGCTGTCAAACACATTGTCTTACAATGTTTTGGAAGCACACTAGGATAGTCGAGAGAGTTACTCATCAGGAAGGGGTCATTGACCATGGCCCAAGACCAATTGGTTGATCTTCAGCTTGCGCCAGAGGGCTGTGGCAGTTCATGTTGGATTGCCTCGGCCAGGCACAAAAGATTGTCGAGGTGCCTTTCCCCCTGCCCTACGTGGTGGTTGCTTGGCATGCGTGTCTGGCGTGAGTGGCGTGGGCCAGCTGTCCATGTCAACGTACAGGCGCTGGCTAAATACGTCCAATATTCTTGGCCTGGCACCAGCTTTCCTATAATGTTTGATGCTTGCTGCTTTGCTCGTGACTGGAACTAAGACAGTTGACAGCAACTCCAACAGGCCAATCAAGCTTAGTGTTGCTGAATGGCTCATCAGAGGCTTGTTGAAAGATCATGAAGTGTTGGCACATGAGTTGGTCGGGGCTCCCGAGCTCAAGAGTTATCCTGCACGCAGGATCTTGGAGTCTTGTCACGCGCTTTCACTAGGCTCTGCAGCTGCTGCTGTTCACCCACTGGGTTATGACCCCCATCATCACGGGCCAGTGGACCAACTACGCGGTCTGGGCGGGAGTCTTTGCTTTCACCAGCACCATCTCCCTCTGGTTCTTTGCAACTCGGAATGGTTCTGAGGGGGGTTTGGCCCCACCTCAGGACACAAGGCGATTGCTTGCTTAGCAGGGGCAGGTTCACTTGCATTTCTGCCTTGTGGGGCGGCTTGTCAGACTGCTGGTGGGAACAACCCAGAAGTTGGGTTGTCCATGAAGGGCGACCACTTAACAACCCAGAAGATCCCAACGCCTGCATTCAAATCAACCAGCTACAGGAATCTCCTCAAGAAAGTGGCCCAAAGCACACCAACCGTATCCAACACCCAGTGTTTCAACTGTAGATGTTCCTGACTGACTCTCTTGTGTTTGGAATCCCCCTTGTGTGTTCTCAAGTACTTCGCTTGAAATTGCACGCGTTTTCCCCGTCCCATCTGCCTTTCCCAGGTGGTTTTGGGATTTGCGCCCCTGGTTGATGCAAATTTCAATGGGAAATCACCCCCTAAACCTCCAAACCACCAGTCCAAATCGCCAAAAACACCTCTGGCGGATCAATCACCCCCCCACCTCCACCACTCCGAATCGCCAAAAACGCCTACGTGGGCTCCTTTGGCTGAGCCGAGTTCGGTGTCGCCATGGAGATGGACGCGCCCTTCCGGCAGAGCTTGTACGGCATCGACTGCAAGGCCCTGCAGAGGCACCTGAACGGGCGGCTGCTGAACCAGCTCCAGACCTTCGAAGGCCTTCAACCGGTGCCTTGGACGTGCGATGGAGCCGAAGGCATATCGATTTGGCCGGGTTGGGTCTTCAGCGAGACATGAAGGTTCGTTGCTCGATTCCGATTTGGTGTCTGGTTTTGGATGATGGCATTTTGGCGCCCCCATGGCTGCGACTATTAAAGGTGGACCGCGGAGATGGTTTACATACATAGCAATGTAGATGATGCCTTCCCATACTTCGACCTTCAGTCATGCATCAGGGGTGTCCCTGTTCGGTGCTGATTGGTTTGCTAAGTGGAATGGTTGCGGTGTCAACCAAGATAGTCAACGGAAACCAATAGGAAATTCAGCGTTTGTGGGCGCCTATATAGTCAATTGCTCAACGCGAATCGCCTTGTTGACCTGGTGCAATCCGCCTTTGGTCCCATAAGTTGACCTTTGAGCAAGCGACGATGTTCACGTCTGGCTGAGGTGTTTCAACGACTTGAGAAGGACACATTCATAGGTAGGTTTTTGGGCTGCAGCCCGCCCACTTGCAGTCAATTGTACAGATGATTGGCGTAACAATTCTTCGTGCAGGTTTTGCAGGTTGACTGGCAGACAAACCTGGCCCTTCTTCCCAGTGGAAAGCTGTGGGCAAGCTCCTCCACGGCGATTGTTTTGTTGCAAACGCTGGTAATTGTAGGCTACAGGCCACACGTAGACATTTACCTCTTGTCAGGGCAGGAGTTATTTTGCACAACATGATATTTCTGTGTGAGTTCAGGAGTTTGCGGAGCCTATTTGTTTTTAGTCGAGGGCCTTATTTGTGTTCTGTTGAGCAGCACGATGTGACGAACCCCTCACCATGCGGACCTAAGCAGTTGCTTACCTAATTTAACGACTGGAGTTCTTGCCATCACCGAGGCTTTGAACAGGGACACGTTTCAGCAGAATCCGGAGCTCTACGCAGCTTGGCAAGCCGCCAGGAACGGCTCAAAAAGAGGCGGTTGGACTGAAACGGTTCCAGCGAAACCTGCGCGAGCTGCGCGTTTTTGTCTAAGCCGAGGAGTGGCAGCCTCAGGGCCTGGACGCCACAGTGCCGCGGGAAAGCATACGCCGCACCAACTCGCCCAACTCGCTGACCAAGTCCCAGACCCACTTTTTCGAGGCGACGGCGCGCCAGTTGGCGGGGGGGTGGGGGGTAGGGGGGGAGAGGTAGGGCTTCGGACAGGAGAAGGTGGGGTTTGCATGAGATGGTTTAGAGGGAGGCTGTGGAGCGGAGCGCCCGGTTTGTTTGTCTCCACTTGGCCGAATCCGGAAGCGCATCGCCCCATTCGCAAGCATTTGTTTTGGAATGACGGGCCTTCCTAGCGAGCCCCCATTGTGACAGACACACAGTTTCGAAGGGCCACTTCCTGAGACACGGACAGTCTTGCTGTCCTACGCACATGGCTGGCGAACTCAGACTTGCAAAACCCGGCAGGACAGAACAAAGATCCGCTCATGTTCAATCAGTGGAATGGACATCTTCCATGCGGCTTTCAAGCCACCGAAGCTGGGGGCGGACATTTCTAATGAAGCAATTTGAATTGGGATGTGGTGAATGTGCGTGGCATGCTCGCGCGTGCTCTTAAAGCACACACACATGTTGAAGTCAAAGCAGTTAGTTAACTAGTCTGCCGCAGGCCAGATAGCCAGTTCGAGAGTTGGATAACTAGTTTGCTTGCTAGCTGGTGCGCTTGTTAGCTAATCTCCTGGTAGCTAGTTGGCGATCTAGTCAGCCAGCTATTCGCTAACTTGATAGACTGCTAATTACTACAGTTAGTGGGCCGGTCGGCCCGTCGCAAATGCAAACGACAACGCATGTGCACAGTGTTCGAAGGTCGACCGCGTGAAAGTCCTTCCGCGCTTGCGATGTGAAATTGCTAGAGCCACAGAGTTGTTCATTGTCGACCCCGCGAAAATCTTCAGAAGGTTCACCATATTTCATTCGAAACCATGCGCGCAATGTCAATGACCCCGTTTCTTTCAGGACCGCTTCCGTCCTGCCTGACGCAACAGGGGTCGTTTTTCATGCCAAAGACTTCATGGCACAGGGCCAGTTTGTTTCTTCCCAGCTCTTTCGTTATCTATTTACGCCTTTCAAGCGGGCCTTAAGATGGTCGTATGTTTTGTCTTATTTCTGATCTTTCATGGAATTATTTGCAATGTAAGATTCGCTTCGCATGCACAATAATGAAACATGTGCTTGTGCACAATAGCCGAGATGGTCATGCGGGGAACCGTTATTTTTCTTTTGGGGGGGGGGGCGCAGCTGTGACTGGCTGCAGGGGAACTCAATGAGCAAGACCCTCTCGACACTGAAGGCGAGGACTTTCAGTTTGCTCAGATTTTGGCGGGTTTTGCTGCGAACGTGCTTGGCCTCTCTATGGTCACATGGCAATCTCGACATGCATTTGCCGGGGGGTACAACGTGCCATCGCAACCAGTTCATAATGCAAGCCGATAGAGCCTGTATGCTTGGTTTGTGATGACTGATGCAAGGGTCGTAATATCCCCAATGGGTGCTCTCACCTTGAGAATGCGAGCGGCCGGAAGCAGAGGAAACCGTGGCCGACCACTGGCAAATGTGAACCTTATTTGGACTAAACCTGTGGAGTTCCAAAGCATTGGGACATGCCTTTGGAGCATTCTCCTCTTTGTGAAGAAGGTTTAGCCTCATGTCGCGGTTTGGGTTCCAGTGAATCTCACCTTGAGGCTTCTGAGTTTGATTGCAACAGGTGTGAATGCAGCTTGTGTGCAAGCTTCGAGCGAATCCATCCACTCTGTGCGGATTGTTGTCATGACAAAATCGGGGTTGGAATCAACTGATGAACAGCCCCATGTGCCCGTTGATTCTTTGGGTGCAAAAAAGTCCCAACCTGCAAAGTGAAAATGCTGCACTGAAGTCGCTAGGCAGTCACTTTGACTGTTCAGCAACGTACCCATCCCCAACGGATGGATGGTAGGCATAGCATCCCCCCAAACTGGTGTCTCCCATCGTGCTAAGCACCAGGCGCGCCAGCTGAAGATATGTGTACACTACATTGCATAACTAATGCCGTTGGACTCTGAAAGAAGGCCCTTTGCAGAAGATTCTCAAGGTTTGGGCCCTACCTGACAAACTAGGTTCGCTGAGACGTGGCAATGACCTTGTGGACTTGAGTCACCTGGTTTGAAGTCCAAAGAGTTAGTCATCAGGGATCTGAAATGGCAGAGTTTGGGTCCGTTCGGTACGCCCAGGAGACGGCCTCGGAGGAGGAAGAAACCACCTCCCGAACGGCGGACTCGGTGGAGGTGACGATGCCTTTGGACGGCGACAAGCTGAAGCTCTGAGAGAGCCCCGCCTAGAGGTTCATACGGCATGTGAATTTCACGGGAAAAGTGTCCGTTGTTGGGAAACAGTTGGTGGTTTGGTGGTGAAATCCACAGTCGGTTTATCAACCAGTATTGGCAGGGGATCATTCATGGTTATTGTTGGGAAACATGTTACATGTTTGCTTATTGTGGTTTAGTGTTTGAAATCTAAATCCACTTAACTGCTGAAATTGAAAGACTTTTGCTCCCCTTCCAACGAGAACCAAGCAAATGGTTGGGTTGGTGGACATGAGTTTTCACCAACATGAGGCCCGCCGAACGGTGCCCAATGAGAATTCATGCGTGAAATCCAACATGGGGGGTCCATCCATGCCTGGCTGAAACCAAACGTGGCCAATGTGTGGAACCCAAGTGATTGCTAATGAGTTTTCTCCGGCGGAACTCCTGTCGGTGAATGTCAAGCATTCTGCCCAGATAGCTAATAGCATCCCGAGATTCGCTAACTGATCAAACAATGTCTATTTGGCCAGGCAATCAAAGGGGGAGCTATGTCATGCTATGTGTCATTGTTTCGGCATCCAGGATCGCTAAGAGCCATGACCTCCCTTGGCTTTCTCGCTATGGCTTTAAATATGTTTGATCTTCTCAACTTGTTCCATCCGACTTTGAGTCTATTGCCAGATTTGTGGATTTGCATGCGTTCATAGCAACAGCTGCCAGCCAGCCTCGCATTCATCATGAATGCGGTGAGCGGTGGCACGAACCAGTTTCAAGGCACTCGCTTGGGGATACCGTTGCTTCCTGCGAAGGACAGCTCTGATCGTACGCAATCCGCTTCATTTCTTGCTTAAGGGCCAGATCGAATCTCTGAAATCCCTTGTAAGCAAAGCTGAAGAGTAGGGTATTCGGGTGGTTCCGCTTCAGTCCTTGCCCAAATTGTTAAAGCGATGTGAGCACTTGCCTGGAGTCTAGGTGTGCTGCGTGCGCTTCGAAGAATCTGTTCGTGCGAGCCCTCGACATTCCTCGGGACTGGCACGGTGCATCACTGGGCAAGCGGTGACTGCCCCAAGGGCAGAAGCAAGGCACTCCGAAAAAGGATCCACGCTCTCCCACCCCCCTCCCCAAGAAAAAGCAAATATGCAGCAGGCAAAACTCCACATGCCCTGGCCCGGTGATGTGCTCGTTTTATCAGGCTGCAGGGGGTACATTTGGGTGAACAGTATCGCGGTTGCCGGAGAGAGCAGTTCTGCTTGAGCGGAAATGTTCCCCCAGGGCCTTGGCCGGGGTCTCCAACGAGCCCATTTGGCCTCCAAGTTTTCAACCCGTTGGTTCGCATCTTGAGAGATGCACTCAGAGGATCCGCCAGCAAATGCTGGGGGTGTGGGCCGGTCAAGTGAAAAAGGGCATCCTCTTGCTGAAGTTCCTCCCTCTCCCCGGGGCGGAAGGTTGGTTCCGTGCTTAGATGATTTGCCCCAGCGGAGATGTTTCGGGCGAGATAAACTTCATGCTGCCGGATTTCCAGAAGAGCTTGTGGTTGTTCACTATCAGTGGAGCATTAAACAAGCCTTCATGCCTTGCTGAAAACCAGTGCCCTGGTGTAGATCGGGTCAATGCCTGAGAAGCTTGGCCAACTGCATTTCTTTTCCTAAACCATGGGTCCAAGTACCCATGGGGTCAACATGGGTCAAAGCGCACCCGAAAGTGCCTGGACCTCGGGGGAGGGCTTGGAGTGCTCTTGGGTGCTTGCCTCCAACCTATCCACATCCTTTCCTATACGACTTCATGGGCAGGCCGGCCCGGTCTGACTTGTTGAGTGCCATGGCCGTGGTGAATCATATGTATACTGTATAATATATATATATATATATACATATATATATACAATGAATAAATATATATATATATATGTTTTTATTGTTTATTCATTTATTTGTTTTTATATATGTATTTAGTCATTTATTTATTTATTTATTTAGATAGTATCCGGGCTCTCTCTTTTGCTTCAAACACTTAGGAATGCAGACGCATGGATTTAGCCCTACGGTGTGTCCTGTGAGACTTGCCATCCCTGCTTCCAACTTCCAGCAGGCACAGCTCACGGACATTCAAAGGAACTTGTGAGCACCGTTTTTCAGTACATTGCAGCGTTGTGTGCGAGATATCGGTGACACATGTGATTCAAGGAACCCGCGGCAACCTAGGTGAATCATATCTTTCGCAGATGTGAATGAAGAGGGAACGAAACCTGTGGTGGAGACTGGGATCGACATATCCTACACTGAAACATCACTTATTGTTCGTTTTCTCTCAAGCAGGAAAACCCTGCCGCTTCATCATAATCCTCAGCGGAAAAAAACAAAAACTGTTTTACATTTATCTAAAGCCGTCAGAGGTCGGATTCCCTGCATGGCAGGCACGCCCAGATCGGCCCGGGTTTAGACCCGGCCGCGGGTGTCTCCTCGCGGTGCCGCTGCTTCAAAGGCCGGGATCCGTTCTACGCTGACTATAAGGGCAAGGGCGTAAGTAATTGGAATGAGGGCTGTGGGGTACTACCAAACCAACTTACCTTATCACCGATCACAAAGGGACAATCAACTTTGTAATCAATTGTGAGTCATCATGCCGGACTCTACTCCCAGGTTTGCAATGATATTGAGGACCTAGCCGTCCTGGTCGCATCAAATATCAACTAGTGTTGAGTGTTCCTGGATTCGGGACGCCTCACGATGATGTTGTGTGAGACATAATCCCAAAGAGTTCCGTGACTTTGACACTGCCACACTGCAAGTGAATGAGCAGAGAAGAACATGTTCAAGGAGCAGCACAAGTGACATCAGCAAGTAGATGAATAGTAGATGCCCGTACCTCATGCGCATTGGCAGCCTGAAATGCAACAGTGCACAATAGTGACACATATCTATCTACATATATAATATACAGCTGATTGTGTCTATATCATGAATAGGGACCACCTTGAGGATTGTGTTTGAAGGAAACAAAGTCTTTGGGCGCCGTAGTTTTGCCAGACAGTATATTTGAACCCTGCTTACTTAAGGCGAGTCTGTTTCACGCCGTGGCTTTGGGGGGGAACTGGCCAACCAACCTTAGAAGACTTGACAGTCTATAGGCAGTGCCAGCCTCGCGCTCAGCCCTGCATGGGGCAATTTGTTGCACGTGCCACTGGGCGTTGCGAAGAATGATCCTGAACTTTGCACAACAGATCGCACGGCGGAACCTTTTTGTTCACGTCATCAGAAACGAGTTCTTTGCAACGTGTGATCGAGGGCAGAAACCGAGATTGCCCGGAAATCAACATTCCCACAGAGGAATTAGCAGTTCTTGAAGCGCAGGATGTGGTTTCGGTCATGACATATGGGTCAGGTTGCCACCATTTGTAGCATGGATTGGTTGGCTAAAAGTTGACCGATTTGCTCCACTTCTGCTTGTTATCCCCGGTGTTCCGTTTGGGATTCTTCCCTGGTAGGCTAGCGTTGAGGAGGCAGTCAACGCGGTTACGGGCTGAGAAGGCTGAGCAGCCTAGGAAAGAGGCCACGGGGGATAGGAGGGGCCTTGGGCGGAGAAGGATCTTACATGGCTGTGGGTCAAAACCAAGTGTACCATTTTGGGTAGGTGCACCACCCATTTTAGTCTATTTTAGTTGGAATTGGGATGTTCACTGGGGGTACGGGATTTTGACCCATGGCCATATGATCTTACCTATGCTGCCAATGCTGAAAGTGATCCGGGGTGTTTCAGCCGACGCATCATTATGTTTCAGCTAGATGCAAATCGGTCGTCTGAGGCCTAGCATAGCCACAAGCAAACAACAGTCCTGGAAGGAAGCAGCCCATAGGAACCAGGCTGTCGTTCCCCACTGACCTGCGTTTACATGTTCTGCGTGATTGTTCAATTGCCACGCCTGTCCTGGATTTACCTTGGCAAGTCATATCATATTTGCCACTTGGTTATTGTCTTGCGCAATCGATGCCTGGGTCGATGAGTTGCTGTGTTGTGTGTTGTTGTTTGTTCATTCGGGTTTCTGCGAAATGCCTTTCCGATTCAGTCATGCTACCTGTATCATGCAGTCTGATGCGATTGAAAATGGCTGTCTGGCAACATTTGGCAACCAGCCATGACCATACTGGACTTCAACGATCAGTTCTGGCAACAGTCAGTTGGCAATCGACAATTGCCCAAATATCAGGACCTGCATGAATATGGGTATGGGTCAAAATTAAACCACCAGGGGACCGCAGGTTTTGGTCCATGTTTCCACGTACCAGGGTTCCATTTGGGGTACCTATTTTTGACCCACAGCCACATGGAAGCAAGCTGTGGTTGAAGAACGTGTGCCGTCACATTCCATGGCTAGGTCCCCCAGTAGTGCCCCTGTACCCTTTTTTTGGGAAGGGTTCCCCTAAGGCCTACTAAAAGAAACTACAGAAGAAAAAACAAGTTGGTACCCTTATTCTATCCTCTCAAATCTGGAGGACCTAGATGCATATCCATGAGCCAATTCGTTGGTCCAGCCTGGGAGTCATGACAACATGGGGAGCCCTGGCCTTTCGGTCAGGAGAAGGAGAAATCCTTGGAGGAGAAGTTCAATGACTTCACCACGGTATTGCCATGGCCTCGCGCTCAGTGCCAAGTGCCTGTGGGGTTCTTTAATCGAGTGGTGGGTCAAAATCGGTGCCCAAAATGGGACGGTAGATGGAACCAAGGACTAAAACATGCGGTCCCCTGGCGGTTTCATTTTGACCCATACCCAAGTGTCTGGATTTTCGTCTGCCGTGAAACAAAAATGGTCTAGGTCCCCCAGTAGTGCCCTTCTCTCCCCTTTTTCGGGGGAGGGTTCCCCTACTAAAACAGACGACAGAGAAAGGGTATCCTTATTCTAACACCTCTGCTGGAGGACCTAGTGGTCCTTTTAACTTGTTTCTTGTTGGGAAGACCATCGCTTTAAGGCGGAGGGTGTCCCGGGTGCTGTAGCTGCCAGAGGCAGCGGTCCAGAAGAAACCTCGTGAAAGATTGCAAGCAGCGAAAAGAAATGACCACTGGCAATTAGGAATTCCTTTGGTGTGGCTATTTTGATGGGGAACAGAAGGTACGTGATAGGTGGTCATAAGTACTCATGTACCTCTGATGTCCAAACAACGGGTTTAGGCAATCAAACGCGTACGCATGTTGACAGATTTCCACTGCACCTTAGTTCCAAAGCCCGATTCTCGAGTGAATGACTTTTGAGAAGGTTTTCTTTCAAAGCTCCTTCAAAGGTATGAGGGTATGTGTCAAAATAAGGGTTTTCTTTCAAGCTCCTTCAAAGGTATGAGGGTATGTGTCAAAATAAGGGGACCCCAAACTGGAGGTATTTTCTTGGCTTTTCTTTAAACCAACCAGAAAGGGGGCGGTATCCTCAAAGAAGAACCAGGGCTCCTTAAAAGATACCTTTTGCCAATTTGAAACATGGCTTTTTCCACCAAAATAAAAGGGAAACCGCCATTTACAAGGCAATGTTCAGGTGTAGAATGCATCCGGATCCCTGAGAACTGATGTCACAAACGACTGCGGTCAGGTTTGGCTTCGCGGAGGATTTGCAGCGCCTGCACCTGGACCGGCGCACCCAGCGCCGCGAGGCGAGCGAACTGCTCGCCGTTTCGCTCGCCGTTTCGCTCGCCGGGCGCGGAGCCGGCTGAAAGCTGGGGTCTTTGCCGAAGCTTTGGATTTGTTAGGAGTGACTCAAGCTCAGAGCAAGCTTGATCTTCAGTGCACCGTAGATGTGGACCAAGAAACCCTCCCAAACATAGAACCTGCACAAGATTGCCGTGCCCGTGCCCAAAATTGGCCCTGCTGCTGTGAGTTTTGTTTTGTAATAATCTAGCAAGCAAAGAAACGACAAATTTTGTGTGGATCTGCTCAGCCACCATCTCCTACACCACCCATTTCATCTCGCAACTTCCCAAATGATTCGCAGAAACAAGGCCCAAAGAGAGATATCGGGGCAGCTTGGCTTGCGCCGTTCCTTCCGTGGTCTCCGTTGCCTTGAGGACACTGACGTGCATGCGTATACGTCAATGCCAGCTGTGCAAGTGCAAATTGATCCTACGTGTCAAAGCTAGTGGCCCCGTGAAAAGGCTTCAAACAAGTACAGTTCCATGACAAATGGTTCCCTAGTCTTAGCTTACATGGCTTCAATTGTTCATGAAAAGCACGCCAGGAGACGCCCACAGAGCGGCCAGCGGATAGAGCCTCGTTGGCCAAAGCGCTTTCAGAGGCAGCAGTTGATTGCGAAGAGATGCCCGAGGCCGGTCGCACGCAAAGCGGGGAGGGGCATCCTGTGTTGGCTTGCGTTTGGGTCGGTCGATGTGTCAAATTTTCGGGGAGCCACCTGCCACATGTGAATCCCTTCTTCACTGCTTGCTTGGCGAAGAAAATATTGCAGGGCCTAATCCAGGCAGTTCGTGAGCATGATGCAGTTGGCGGTGACATGGCTTCGACTGGATGTCGTTGTCACAATGTTATGGCTACCGTGGCTGTGTTAAACTAGGACACATGTTGAACTGCCCTGCCCAATGGAATGTAGGTGAGTGAGGAGTGTTTATCCGATAATTTATCCCAGACTTCACTGCATTTCAGCTATCCGTGACGTACCCCAATCAATTAGACGTTTCTGTGCGGCTGCCTTCTGGGCTTCTGGGCATGTTGAAACAACACAGAGTGTTGCCAGGTCATGGCTCATGTACTAGAGGGTTGTGACCGACGCAGGGCCTTCTGAATGCCAGAAATCTGTGTCCAATGCAACCGAGTTGTTTGTTGTCATACTGTTTGGGCCATGCTCAGCATTTGAAGCAATTAATATTTGAGCATGGGTTTCCAGCCCAACCCCTTTCCGTTTCAGAATTCTGGTTTTTGGAACTGATCAGACTAATTCAAGATCGCAAAGCATAGCATGCGCAACCAACAGCCAGACGCGAGCTAGAAAGACCCATGAAAAGATCATTGTGTGATTGTGGCTTGTTAGTGATTGGCCAGGTAGAACAATATTGTGGTTGGTTTGGCGACCATTCACCTCACCAACGTTTTGGGCCCAGTCTCAAAACTGGAGATCCTTCTGTGCCAGGAACGGCTCTTTCTAGTGGTTCTGTGCTACAGGTCTGTGAACTCAACTAACAAACAATAAACAGCCCAACTAAAGCATTGGGGAGGGGTGGAAAGACTACTGTGGATGGACAAAATCCTGCACCACCCAAGACACCATGGGAAACCATTGTTTGTTGGTATTTTCAGGGGACCATATCATTCTAGGGTTTCTTAGGTGGTGCAGGATTGCGTCCATCCACAGTACTAGACTATTTTCCTATGGACCCTCTGTGGTGAATTCCATGTTCGCAGGGAAAACAAGTGAAGATCTAAATTCGCAGGTGGTGGAGGCTGTGATCCAACACGCTGAGAGCGGAGCAAAGACGGAGCCCACAAAGGCCAGTGCGCGGACTGCCGAGGTTCTGAAAATGGACATGTTATCAACCTTCCGGGTCTGCTTCGTTTTCTGCGCTGTTGGTTTGAGCTCGGCCTTTGGCTTCTTGCGAGGCAGTACAGTAAGTGATACGTTGATTAGGGCAACCTTCCGACTTGAAATCGGGCGCTTTCTATGCAACCCTCTGTTCCGCAAAAAGTTGTTCCGGTTTGCTTCTTGCAGCCAGGCTTTTCTTGAGAGGCCGTGCTATTGGTGTGTGTGTGTGTGGTTTTGTGTGTGTGTGTGGTTTTGTGTGTGTGTGCACGTTTGTTTGTTTGTATCTGTGTGTGACATTTCAAACTCTTAAGTTAAAGCCTTGCATTGTCATGCATCATTCATACATGAGTGCAGTATAGCTGCTCCGCCCGAAATGCGCTGGGATGCTAAACTGGTCACTTGACTTGATCTTCGCGACAACCGGCCGTTGCTCAAGCTGCCTTCCATTGACGTGGCGCCTGGACGCCCCTCAATGGATGACCATGTCGCCCTCAAGGGGGCAACAACTGTGGTGCTGGCGATTCTGTCAGCAATCTTCTCTGGCCTCAACTTGGGCCTCATGTGTGCAAGTCTCAGAATCTAGCTCAAAGCTCGAATACTTGTAGAGTCTGGGCTGCCGCGCTGGAACTCAGTTTCAGCTTTGTCACATGTTGGACTGCTGCCTCCTTGCATTGCTGGCGCAATCGTGGAATGCACATACTATGCAGTGGCCGAGGAACCAACACACAAATACACAAATATACATAAATATCCAGTTGCAGTGCTGCAAAGATGCTAATATCTCCGGGAGCGAATGGAGATTTCTGAATACCTGCAACTTGGTTTCAGGAGTAGCCCTCCCATCAGGGAACCTAAGGCAGCCTGCTAATTATGCTAATTAGGAAGGAAGACCACTTTGGCCGAAGAGACCTTTCGTCCGATTCCGCGAAGCAGGTCTTACTTTTCGTCTCCCCCTTTTGCCATTGAAAGCAAAGGACCCAGTTAAGGGAGGTAAAGGGACCTCCTTGAGCATTTCTACACTTGTAGGGACTCCCGTTATTTTTCCACACAGGGGTCAAACGCCCAACCCTGCCGAGTATCCCGTTGGCCCAAAGGGATTTCTCGCGCCGAGGTCTGGATACCAACCAATTGATATTGCTGGTGAAGGCTGCAGAGAGGGATGGTGCAGACAAAGAGGCTCAGGGCGCGAAAGTTCTTTCAGCACCAGTGTTGTGTTGGACCGTTTTTCTCCTTTTGGGAGGGATTGTGCAATCAACTCAACTCCCAAACAGGTGTGCCTTTTCGTCATGGGCATTGTGTGTCCTTGATATCCACCCCAGATCAATTGTCCATGCGGTTTGGTACAAAGGCCTCACAGTGCCCCTGGAAAGGAACATCGGCTTAGGGGCTCCTGTGAACTTCCATGGGCAAGGAGGTTCTAATGTGGCATGGCAAAGTGGCTCCGCCAAGTAGTTGGTTTCATATTACGACTTTATGTTGCTTGTCGCCCACAATGCACCAACAGAGGTTCTGGTTTTGACACAGCTATGCAGGGTTGGGGTTTTCTTGCAGCGAGGGGCGGGTGTTAACCCAACTAGTGAAGGGGCACTTCCCACTTTGAGCCCCCCTTTCAAAGCGCCCCCGTGTTAAAACTGGTGTTTTTTTCTGCCACAAAAAGTCCAAACCTGTCCCATACATGGTGCCCCAGCCGTGCTCTTCAGGCACGGCGCCAGGCTGCTTGGGCCGCGAGGATTTTGCCCCTGCGCAAAGATGGGAATCTGCTGCTGTGCACGGTGCTGTTGGGCAACGTCATGGTGAATTCCTACTTCGCCCCTCGGGAAAAACAAGAAGAAAAACACATTGACATGTCGGTATGCGACCACTCTGCGTTGACGAGTTTGAGTTTAGACACGCTTAAAGAAGGCCGATGCACTCGTTTTGCATGAACATTGAATACCAGAGGAAGCATGATGGCCACGGTTTGTTCTGTTTGAGTTTGCTTCGTCGGGAACAAGCTTGCCCTGGGATCGAAAGGCCGCGAGGCTACCCGTCAAGCTAACAGGTTTGGTGCTTCGGCACGTTGTCAGGCCTTGCGGCCCACGACAAACAACAAGTGGCCAAACGGGTATATGTTGGTCATGTTGAGGATTACATTCAGCAGCTGATTGGAGGGCTCTCTGGTGCATCACGTCCTGATTGGATGTATCGTTTGGGGATCCCGAAGTGCGAGCGCCTGTCAGTCAAGAAAGATGTTGCTGAGAAAACAAACAATGTTCGACTCAAACACCAATGAGACAACCCCGATCAAGAAACACTACATTCTGACAGTAGCTTTTGCTTTTGTTCATGCTCACCGCAACTTTAAGTTGCTCCAGCTTCGCATCTTTGGGAATGTCAAAACTCCGCTCCGGGTTGCTGTCCTCTTGATTTTTCTTGACCATCCCACCTATTTTGCAATTATTAGAAGGACCCAACTGATGAGTTTGACTGATGTTCCCTTTGCAGGCTTGATGATTGTTGGAGACCCGGTGTAAGCACCCGTTCCTGACTAAGGCCATTTTGCTGGCGGAATTTTGGGATGGCACGGCTGCCTTCGTTGTCAGTACCTTGGTCATCGTCACCTTCGGGGAAATCATGCCCCAGTCGATTTGCTACAAGCACGGCTTGAGGATTGGGGCGGCCTTAGTTCCGCTGCTGATCTTTTTTTGGCGGCTTGGCGAATTGAAATACCCGGTTTGAATGCCAATCGGATGTCCTTTGCTGGTAGGGGCATCAATCCCAGCGCAATCTGTGGTTTGTGTGTGGTTTGTTGCGTGTCTCTGGCAGTGGCCGAGCAACCTTGGGCACGTCAACCACAGAAGAGGCTTTGGGAGCGTCCGAACCAAGTCAGTGCAATATGTATGATTGACCATCGCGAGCGAACGCGAGCGAATGCCCATGCAGAAGCTGCATTGCTTTGTGTTTGGAAGCGACGCACAAGCAGAAGGAAGCAATTGAACGCGCCCCTTTGCAGCACAAAAGAGGAAGGACCACGTTGGATGTTGTCGAATGTTGACGTGCGACTGATCCAATAGAACCGTACTAGTCGAAGGTCTCATCTCTGCTCTGAAGTCGAGGTGCCTGTATTATCTTTCCGAGCCAGGAAAACACCCTTTCCTGCATGAACCTTTTGTCCAACAATTCACAACTCGCAACCATGCCGAGTATACATCGCACATACTGCAATGTGATATTAGTATGTTGCCAAACCTGTTATCACGATCATGGGAGAAACATGTGTCTAGTTTGCTTGGCCCTTAGAATATACTGTTTCCCAGGCTTTCTCGGCTCGTAATTCAGGTACCTGCTCTTTCCCATTTCCAAGCCCATGGCGCTGATTTTGGACCAGATCTTCGGCGAGGAACTGGATGCGTCAACAGACTGATCCCGGGGAAACAGCCCCGGTGTGCAGATAGGTGGCGTGAACAAGTGGTTTGAGCAATTGGCAATAGTTTCCGTCGAGCAAAGGATTTGATTTCGTGATTTAGAGCGGCAAAGCTGTTGGAACAGGAAGCAGTAAAGACCACAGCCAGGTGGGTGCCAGTTTTTGGAGAGTATCAGGTTCACGAAAACACAGCGCCATTGTTTTGGTGTGCCTCGATCCTGACACATACCCGCCAGGAGATCGGCCAGGTACTGGATCGCCAACAGTTCCTGACGCTGCTCCTCGGTTGCACGCTAGTCACGAGGGACCCCCAAAATCTGGGAATGCGCCCTCCCTCCTGGTCAAGTTCAGCTGATTCAGCGCAGTATTCCACACTGATAAATTGACATGCTAGTTTGCCCAGCAATCAATGCGGATGTACTGCTTTCCGTGCAGGCCTAGAGAACAGCGATGTACCGTATGTCGGTCCAAAGAGACCACCATATTTTTTGGATCTGGCTTAGCAGGCTAAACACGGAGGAGCTTGCGTGTGTGTGTGTGTAATATATATATATATACATTGCGTATGGTGTGCATTGCATAAGTCTCCCATGGATTTTCTTCAAGAGGTACGTGCACCAAACTTCCAAAAGAACCGTGGCATGGACAAGCACAAGCTTGAGCGGGAACCTATCAGGCAGCCGCAGCAAAGCATCAAAGGACAACACACTGCTCCAAAGAAAATGTTTGGCATGGGCCGTAGAGCTGAAAACATGAGACACTTCTTGCGGCATTTCAGCCAACCAGTTCGCCAGCAGCTGAGCCCACATCCAAGCTTCCAAAATGGCCACCCCAGTTGCCAGGATCGAGTACCAGAGAAAGCAGGCCCCGCACCTCTTGACGGAGCAGGAGACTCCCAACTGGGCCCGTTGAATTGGTTTTTAATTTTAGGGCTTCTAAAAGTAGTTCTACCGTTGTGGTGTGTGTGTGTGTGTCCCTTTCAAAGATAACCTTGATTTTTTGAGCATGTTACTTTAGGCCCGGTGGACATCCCACCCAAGACATTTGTAAAGCAAGGCATGCGTCCGAGATGTCCTCTATTTGGCTGGCCGACTCTCGGATCATGAGCAAGTGTTTTTTTTGCTTGCGTTTGCTCGCCGCGTAGGGTTTTAGAACAGGGTATTGCCCTCGGAAAAGTGGGGTGCACAGATTTTCTTTGTCATGCCATGAAAGCAACACTGGCAATGCCGCTAGAAAGTATGACCGCTCCAGCCATGATGAAGCTTCAACATGCTCGGACCAACAGGTCCTTTGAGATCGAATGTGACATGTGGGTGAAACCAGCCAGCTTCCCTTGCCCGCCCACCCACCCGCCGTTTCGTGGGGCGAATGCGCAGGAGGCAAAGATTCTGCGGGGCTCGATGGACTTCGCGACCATGATGGCAAAGACGCTCAGAAGTCGCAAAGTGGATCAAGCCCAAGCAACAAACACCGAGGTATCGGTTTTGGGTGGACCATTCCCATAGGCTTTGCAGGTTGATAGGTCCCATCGTGTTTTGGTGGTCATATTGTCACGTAGGCATGTCAATGCAAGGTAAGCGAGTGCTTGCCAAAGCAGACGACCTCAACCGATTGTTGGTTTACCTTTGTTTTATGTGCACCATCCGAGTGCTCAATGCTCAATGCTCCAAATGAGCAGAGTATTGTGTGGAACATGATCGCGTACGCAATCCGCGTAGGTTGTTCAAGAATTTCCCGCGTAGGCAGGTTCGCTTAAGCATGTTGTGCCTTAATTGTGTTCCCGCCCCTCGCCTATTATTGGGTAGTTGCTGTTGGGAGAACATATTGGTTAATAGGGTTCTCATCCAAGTCGGGAGCCGGTTTGCCGGGCCCAAAAACCGTCAACAAATCGTAATCTGCCTAGTCTGAGTAAGGAGTTTAGTATTGGATCAATCAAACGCAAAGTTTTTTTGATTTTGGCGGGCATGGCAATTATTATGTAGTAATAGCCCATTGCGGGAAGCGATTACTTACACAAAAAGAGTCTGCGCAGGCACTCTGCCTAGGCGCTTGTTGCGGCGTCCCGTAGGCGCCCTTATGGTTTACACCCGCGGAGGCTGCACGCAGGCATAGCTGCCAGCGCATAGGGCCGATACACCAAAACAAGACTCGACTCCTCTTTGCTGTGAGTGGGCGACACCTCTTTTTGGTTTTATTATTCCAGCTTTGTGCCGTGGGCCTGGCAATTAGGGAGTCAATCGGTGCTGTACTAGTGATATTTGTCCCCATTTCAGCACATGTCACCATCCAGAATCCTGGCTGAGGAATGAGCAGTACGTGTTTCGCGCATAACATCAGACAGTCTAACGCAAACATCGGCGCCCTTAATGAAGGCGCATTGAAAGTGAGCTTAGTTTGCATTGAAAGTTAGCTGGCCCCCGCCTGACACATTTGTATAGCTTAAATGAACACCGTGTTTGAGCCCGGGACGTTGAACATTTCCCATGTTACGTGCAACTGCTCTTGCTGGAGACGACACACGCACAATCATAGATTGCAGAAGCCATGCAGGCAATCACGATGCAGCAAAGCGAGATGCACGATGTTGCAGCTTTCTATGCGATGTGGCGTATGTTATATTATATATATATATATGTATATCGTCCTCAAATGGTGCGTTCATCTTTGTAAGCTTTGCTCGCTTCGCAGAGCTTCTGCCCAGACTCGATTTTGCTGGTGTTTGAGATGCACTTCTGATGAACGGTTGTCTGGTGGTGGCAAACCAATATGTCCGACTTTCGGCCAGTCTACCTGGAACCCAGCTCGGCCGCTGGGTTGTTAGGGCACATGTGCTGCATGGCTATAACACATGTGGCAGCAATCAAGGCTGATGACAAAGTTCATTGACAAGAGAGGCGTGCGTAGCTTTGCTTGGAGATGTTGAACTGGTAGTTTTGGCATGAAATACAACTTCATGGGGTATCAACTGTATATACCTACCGATTGAGTTTGTCGGAGCAGACACCACTGCCCAACCCGCTTAGATTGTGGGTGTTGTGACGTGTGCACGTGCGTGTGTGTGTGTGTGTAAGAGTGTGAGCGTGTGACGGTGAGGCAACCTATCGCTTTGCTGCCTACACATCCTATCAGCGATGTATGCATGTCAGTGTGAGTGTTGTCATCATCCAAGAAGATGGACAATCCTGATGAGTTCAAGCTTCGAAATTTAAGCCGGCGGCACTAAGCAGAGATACATGTTTATGAAATAATTCAAATTTCAGCTAAGTGCGGCGACATGTTTGACCTGGTTCAAGGGTTCTATGGAAGGAAAGTAGCAATGCAAAATGGGCTGGGTTCAATATCCTTCCATACCTCTACTTTTTGAACATCACATTTCTCGCTAGGAACATCATGGTGCCCATGGCGGACTGCTTCTGTGCCTCTGCCGAGTCGGTCGTTGTGTTTGCGACACCCTTCGTAGATCCCTTTTTGCTTTCGCGGGGTCTCTTGGAGAATGGACAACCCCGTAAAGGTTCAGGGCTACTGGGCTCCTGGATACAAGTTGCTTCAAAGGGCCAACCTTGACAACACCATGAACTGTATGACTCGTGTCGCATGATACGAGCTGGTTTGCTTGTTTAGTTGTATGTTTGTGTGCTTGTTACTGTGTTTGTTGAACTTGTCCTACACAGTAGGTTGTTTTTGCTTGTTGTATTTCTTTGTGTGGTTGTTGCTATTTGGCTGTTTGTGCGTTTGTGTGCTTGTCACTTGTCTTCTCGCCTCTCTTTTGCCTGTTTGTCCTCCTGCTTGCTCGTTTGTCACTCCGTCCGTCGTATTTGCCTATTTGTTTGTCTATGTGTTGCCTGGATTGTGTGAATCACTGTCATTAGTTGTTACCTTCTATGTCTTTTCTTTCTTGCTTGCTGGCTGGCTGGCTTGCTGGCTTTCTGCTGTTGGGTTCTGTTCTGTTAGCCTCCATCATGTACCTGATTCCAATCCGCTAGTGGGCAAACTCAACAAGAGCCATGCTTGAGCGGCATAGTTTCGAGAGAGTCAATTTGAGTCGAAGTGCTTCACAACGCATGGTTAGATACACGACCCCGAGGCGAGTGAAAGATCGCAAAGTGCCAAGACAGCTTTCCCCAAGCCAGCGGAGACGTCAATGTGATGTCTTACTTTTAGGCCATTTTACGTACGATGATCCAATGGTTAAACGTGCCAGGCCTCACGACAGTGTGCGACATCTCAATTTTCTCAAGCCAGCTCGCTCTTAGGAACCAAGCCAATTGACTTCTCATTTGTTCAGTTTTCCACCAAAAAAAGAGACCTTTCCGTTCCACGTTGTTGTTTCTAATTCTCATGCTAAGAGCTGTGTTGGTCAACTTCGCGCTTGCTGATTGGATTCGAGATCGGAGGTTTAGACGCCTGCGCGGTCATCAACCCGGGCCTGTGCGCGGCCGTGGCGGCGGCGGGCTTCTCGCGGATCCCGGTGATTGACCGAGATCCCTTGAGCCCAAAGATGCTCCGGCAGAATGCTGGCTCCATGGGAATCCCATTCGGTTTCACGCAAGATGTCTCGTGTTTTCTATTCCTTGCTTGTGGCATTGACCTTTGACTGACCCCAGGCACTAGCCGGGTCGCCGTGCTTTTCTGAATCCGGAGGTTGGGCTTGAGTTGTCATCACGGCATATTTGAAGCACCTTGCTGGTTGCAAACTGCAAACCCATCGGATGAAGCATAGTGAGCAAACGCCACAAAGCTAGGCCAGGCTGGCGAAGCCCCGCGGGCCGGATTTTGTTTTAAAGATATAAGAACTAGTTGGGAGCATGCTTCTTTTGCCCTTGCCTCTCTCTCTCTCTCCCTCCCTCCCTCCCTCGCTCTTTCTTTCTCACTCTCCGTCTCCCTGTCTTTCCTTTTTTCTCTGTAATTGCCTGTCTCTTCCGCTGTCTTTGGTATATGTTTGTTCATTTGCCCTATTGTTATGATTCTTCTTGATCAGCATATTCCTCTTTATCTTTATATTCTCTTCATTTTGCTCTCATTGTCTTTATCTTCATCTTTCTCTTCTCCTCGTTTATGTTTATCTTGTTTGCCCCTCCCGTTTATGATGAACTTGATCATTCTTATTATCCTTCTCTTCCTCTTCCTCTTTATCGTCTTCTTTCAACTTCGCATCTTGGTTTTGTCAGATGGGCTAAGGAGGCAGTTTGCTGTCATCGGCCTCATCCATGTGCCTTGGCCGCCAGTGAGTTTGGCTGGCTGCTCCGCGGAATCTCGGACGCCCTCCAGCTCATGTGGTAGCAGCAGCAGCATTCATTTGTTCTTTGTTGATGCTGCATGTGTGTTGGTGAAGCGCTTGTTTTAATTACTTGGCCCGATTCTACCATTGAAGGATATCGTGCAGTAGCATACGCGGGAGGAGGTGCAATATTCATGAGCTGACAGTTGTTTGGTTCCAATAAATGCCAGTGACATGGTGCAAATTTTCCGAAATGCAATTGGGGTCAAGCCAGAACCCCATCCATGTTACTCCGGCCACCTTGATGCATGAAGGGTCGGAGTCGACAGACTAGTGAAAACTGCGGTGAGATCAAGTGAACAGCAGCGGCAGCTGCAGAACGAAAGCGCTCACACGTTTGGTTTCCAGTCTGCCAGTTGGTGTCTTGGTATTCGGCGGGTTCAACTAGTGGGAGGCCTTCCTGCCCGAAGCGACGGCAACACTAGGTGGCACCAAATTCATTCGATGGACCCTCCCAGCACCTTGCAGTCACCTCTTTGCATTCAACCATGTGGGTGGCTGGGGTGTCCAACATTGGGGACCCTTTGGGTGTTTCAAACAAAACCTTCGGGAAAGGCAACCACCTTCCCTTTTTCGGCACCGGACCAGCCACACCACCCGGAAGCTGCTCTAACGGGGACACGGCTTTGTCTACACTCCCAGCCGCCAACATGGAACCTGACTGGTGAGGTGTTGGAAGGCCATGTTCCTTAGTGGTGGACCCAATTTGGTTTGTATGTCAAGGGAAGCCAACACCAAGCCAACCTTTTTAGTGGACAGATTCCATTCCAATTCCTAGGAAGCGCCCGAGGTGAAAGACCTGCTCCTTCTGGAGATCGACCACGAAGTGCCCCTGAAGGCGCTCCTGCCGCTGATCGGGCGCCAGGTCTTCATCGTAGACGACGACCGGCCCTTGCTGCAGTTGCTGGAAGAGTTCCGGCGAGGAGATCTCAGGTTTCCATACTCCGATCTCATTTGGGTATGGGAAATCAGTCCACCAGGGCCACAGGTTTTGGTCTTGTTTCCATTTACCAGGGTGCCATTTGGGGTACCTATTTTGGACCCACAGCCATTCTAGCCTTTTATTTGTGTATTTCCAACGGGGCCGGGTACTTTCTACATGCATGTGGTTTGGAACAATTCGAGCGGCACTTGTACGAGTTTCCCACATGAGAGCAATGCGATTCTGTCACTGGCATATATTTGGCTTCCCTGACACACCAGATTGTAGACCCCAGAAAATGTTCTGTCAGACGTGCTGCAGCCACACGGATGTTTTTGTGATGTGAAATGTGGGATTCATAACTCCTAACTCCCCCACGCAGGGTCGACAGGTCTGGACAAACCCGATTTTTGTCCTCCTCCCCTAATATTCGTGTCAAGGGAAGTGGCGGAAAACTAGCGGGCCATTGAGAGCAGGCCGCGTGAGAAGAGAACTACTGTGGCTGCAATTGTGGCTGCTTCTGGGTTTGTTCTGGAGCGGGGCGGCGGGCATTTTCAATCAGAGAGTTCTGGGGCACCAACTTTTTTTTCCAGACCTTGCGGGTAAGTAGTCTTGGCTGGCAGTCGGCTTGAAAACCGGGTGTGTCTACTCAGGGGGGGTTGGCGGGTGGGTGCGTGCTTGCGTGCGTGCGGGTGCATGCGTAGGGCTATTTCAACAACTGCACGATGAATGTTATATTTTGGAGATTGTGTCAGCCAATGTAGCGGAGATTGTGTCAGCCAACATAGCGGCATCGCACAGCAAGCTTGGTTCAAAGCTCATATCGCCACCATTGTTTTGGGCTCTTCTATACGCAGCGCTATAAGCAGCGCTTTCGCGCCTCGGCGTTGCTGTTAAGGTTGAGATCCGCACTAGGAGCCAGTCAGCTTGCAGTCGTCCGGGGCATCGTGGATGACGAGGACTGCGACCCCTACTTCCGGCACGTCGGTATTCTGACGCTGCAGGACTTGCTAAACACTATTGTGCAGGAAGATGTGCATGCGTCTGAGCTGCGATTCGGACTGTTGGCCGTTTCACTCTTGCCCTCATGGAGTTCCGCGAGCGTTCCACAAGACTTGGTTAACTGGAACCGGGGGAGTCCCCGCAGCCATGTATTAGATGCCTGGGGTCCAAGACAAAAGAAGTTCGAAAAGCGCGGTTAACCAGGTTTAGAAGGCGCCTTGAGGCGAGGGAGAAGCACAGAAAAGGCAGCTGCTAAACAATGCACCCTGGCAGTTTGTTGTTTTCCGAAAAGCGGGTTTGTCGTCTTTGAGCGGAGATCTTTTGTCTCAATAGGGATGAGGCTTGAATGAATCTAGGTGCAATATTGCAACAACAAGCTGCCACGCACTTAGACGGTACACAAATAGGCGGAAAAAGGCAGCTCGCAAGCTTGGAAGCTAGGTTTGACAGGGCATGCCAGAGCTCTTCCAGATGGCCGATTCCCGACCAGCAGAGTCTGAGAAGTGTCTCCATCCAAGTTGAAGGGAACGAGCAGTCAAGCCTAGGCTAATGGCTGCCACCGTTTGGTAGCGCTGCAAACCTCACGCCCTTTAAAAGGTGGTCGATGGCGAGGCTCCCTTGGACTTTCCCTTGCCTTTCTTGGTGGGGCGTGAAGGCATGCGGGCTGGCTTAAGATCGCGCTTGGATCCCTTTGGCCTTGGTGTTGCAGGGCGTGGCGGTGCTGACACGGATGGACATTTTTGAGCGAAGCTATAGAAGGCTGTGCACGTCGTTTCTCATGTGCGTCAGCTTGTACAAGGCATCAACGAAGGCCTAAGTTAGGATCAGGCTTTCGGCCAATGTCCTCTCACTGCTCGGGCCCGTCGGGCCTGTCAGGCCCGTCGGGCCCGTCAGGCCCGTTGGGCCCGTCGGGCCCGTCGAGCCCGTCGGGCCCGGGAAGTTTGTCGGGACTGTCAAGGCCGACGAAAGAGGAGGCTACTAACTTGACGCAGTCATTGACACGAGGCTGCCGTTGTCTAACAACACACGCCAGGCACAGAGCAAGATCTGTCCAACTAGCCTACTATTCCCGAAAGCATGGCGAAGGGTTCTTCCGCTGGGTTCACTTGAGTTGTTCTCATGAGAGTCATTACAAGGTGTCATTGCAAGGAATCATCATCATGAAAGTCAATGCAAGGAGTCATTGCAAGGAGTCATTGCAAGGAGTCATTGCAAGGAGTCATTGCAAGGAGTCATTGCAAGGAGTCATTGCAAGGAGTCATTGCAAGGAGTCATGGCTCATTGCAAGGAGTCATTGCAAGGAGTCATTGCAAGGAGTCATTGCAAGGAGTCATTGCAAGGAGTCATTGCAAGGAGTCATTGCAAGGAGTCATTGCAAGGAGTCATTGCAAGAAGTCATTGCAAGGAGTCATTGCAAGGAGTCATTGCAAGGAGTCATTGCAAGGAGTCATTGCAAGGAGTCATTGCAAGGAGTCATTGCAAGGAGTCATTGCAAGGAGTCATTGCAAGGAGTCATTGCAAGGAGTCATTGCAAGGAGTCATTGCAAGGAGATTGCAAGGAGTCATTGCAAGGAGTCATTGCAAGAGCCAAGCGCGCCTGCTCCCGGAACCGGCGGGTCGCGGGTTCGATTCCTCCCTGGTCCGCGGGCGGGCGTCGCAAGATGCAACTTGCATAAAGCAACTTGCGCAGAGCAAGCGCAGAGCAAGTTGCACAGAGCAACTTGCGCAGACCAACTTGCACCGACCAGTTTGCGCAGAGCGCCTTGCCTAGAGCAACTTGCGCAGAGCAACTTACGCAGAGCAACTTGCACAGAGCAACTTGCACAGAGCAGCTTGCACAGAGCAGCTTGCAGGGAGCAACTTGCACGGAGCAATTTGCACAGAGCAACTTGAAGGGAGCCACTTGCAGGGACCAACTTGCACGGAGCAACTTGCACAGTGCAACTTGCGTAGACCAACTTGCACCGACCAGTTTGCGCAGAGCACCTTGCCTGGTGCTGTCTCGCGCTTGCTTCACGAATGCTTTGCGTAGGGAAAAAGAACGCATCCTGCAGCGTTGGGCCATGCTTTCGGGCCAGCCGTGGTCTAGTTTTTTCCTCGAGCTCACGCCCACAAACGCTCTCATCCCAGAAGCCAATGCCCTCCAAATCCCACCAGCACGGCCGCTCGGAGCCCACATCCCACCAGCACGGCCCCGTTGAAAGCTCCCCGCACCCATCGCACCAGAGATGCTTTTGGGAAAACAGGTGCCGGGAGCTCTGGTTATGCTAGGCACATGGTTCCAACTTGATAGAAGCCAATACTGTTGCGCGCGTGTGTGTCTGCTCCACTTACATGCCCTGTTGGCCTACTCATCTTTCTATCTAGCCATCTGCCTGCCTATTCATCCACCGAGGTCTTTGTGCATCTATCCATCTTCCTGTCCATTCTTTTGTTTGTCCATCCGTTTGTCCATCAACGCATCTGCGCATTTCCCAACGTATTTGTTGCTAGTTCCACAGGGCCTCTGGTCTTTTCGCGGCGTTTCAGCTGTTTTTCTGGCGAGGTGTGGGGGGGGGAGGGGGGTTGATGTCTTTGCTGCTGTTTCGGCGTCAGGACCAGTTTGGGATTTTGCGATTGCTGCTTGTGCGATGCCTGACCGTATCTCCAATTGACTTTCGTGCACTGTGTGATGATCAGAACGTTCTGTGGTCTTCGTGGGTCTCTTATGTCTCGCGTTCTCGCCAGGCGCTGCCTTTGCTTTTGGCGGCTGTCTCCACGTGACCGTCAAGTAGATGCCCTCCAGTTTACATATCACGATTTTTTGAGGTGAGGCTGAGAGCATCAAGTAGATGCCCGCCAACCAGCTTGCGAAGATGTGCAGCTGCAAAGAAATTTGGTGGTGTGATCTGATTTGCTCAATGTTTGGAGCGCACAACCTAAATTAAGCCCAAACGGAGATGATGTCAGGTGAAGGGTGTTTTCTGAAAAACATTCGTTTGGAGGAGTTATAAAACCACAGTTGTTCATTGAGAAAAGCTGAAATCATTGGCAGGTGCATTGAAACCAAGAAGGGCGAACCTTGAAAATCACCACGCGCCTCATGGCGTAATGACCTATTTGTTTAGATCCAACCTGCTCTGACCTAATCCAGCCCAATCTAATCCATTTGCCTATCTGCCTATCTCGTTTCCTGTTCTAATGCAATCTAATCGATCTATCTCTCGATTCCCTCTGTTTTTATCTTGTTACCCTTCTATCTACATATCTCTCTTACCGATTTATCTGCGTATCTGTCTATGTATGCATCGGTCTACCTATCTAACTGTCCATCTACCTACCGATCTTTCTTTCTGTCTATCTTTCTCTTCTTCAGTTTCGTCTACCTGTCTCTGTCCATCTACCTACTTATCCATCTACCACCTATCCAAGATATGTTAATCGGATCCATCTATGTACCTATCTATCTATATTTACCTATCTATCTATCCATGTCTGTCTATCTATGTATCTATCTATCTGTCTATCTATCTATCTATCTATCTATCTATCTATCTATCTATCTACTATCTCTCCTACCTTTGTAAATTTCTATCAACATGTCAAAATACCTACCAACATGTCACAATATCTCTCACTATCGATCATTCTGTCTGTCGTTCTATCGTTAGATATCGTTAGCCAAAAGCCCGCCCAGCGCGTGGAGCCCGTCACACACGCGAGGCCCGTCAAGCGCCTGAAGCTGTCGGGCCCGTCAGGCCCATCAAACCCGTCAGGCCCGTCAGGCCCGTCGGGCCCGTCAGGCCCGTCGGGCCCGTCGGGCCCGTGAACGGTGAGCGGCCGCTTCTCTTTTGATCTGGTTTCAAGTTTCAGGCGTGTTTAGGAGTTACCTTGTGGCGTAGCACATCTCTCACGAGTTGTCAAAGCTTCCCTTCATGCCGATTCAAACGCAGGCGCGACCCTACAGTGATTATCTTTAATTCACATGCCCTGTATAAACATGTTCAACCATCTAAGAACCAAATGTCTACAGCAGCTGCGTGCTGCGGAACCACTCTTGGTCCTGAGGAAGTTGATGCAGATGACGTGGATTCCTGTGTGAGCAGTGAGCCCAGCGGGATGTTCTCCAACGTGCGGCGCTTCCATGAATGCTTGGACACCACGGCGCCCTGGATTAATCGTTGTCATTGGCGCATGGGAAGGGCCCATTTCTATAATCGATCCCTTGGTTGGTTCCCAGAATAGCTCACAGCCACGACCACTGCGCAGGTGTCTTGGAGTTTACCTTGGTATAGATTAAGGGTTCTCTAGATCCGGGGTGTTTCTGAGCTCTTGTCATGACGCGCTATGATGTCGCTTACATACGAATTGCCAGTAAACTGTGAACATGTAACAATGTGAGCTGCTCAAAATTCAGGTAGTGATCTACTGGAGCTTCTGGTTGGCCAGCCATGAGTGAGTCAATTTACATTTGACAATGAAGGCGGCATGACTTGCAGCAAGCTCAGCAGAGTTTCCCGAGTGACGACTGGAAAAGGTTTGTCGCAGATCGCATTGCGGAAGACTGAACTCGTGGGCTGCCTGTTGTGAAATTCGAAACGCTAGATAGATGCTTGAACATTAACAATCCGCTCCCGCCATTTTGGTCCTCTTCGGTCTTCTCCCAGTTTTAGAGGTGCTTACCCCTTTCCGGGCCCAAACATGGCTCAGAACGGCAATCAGGATTTTGAACAGCACGCAATACTCATTTCTCTCGATGTTAATTTGCTCTCATCCACTCGTCCTTTGCCAACCCATTCATGAGTTAGATGTGCATGGGAACTATAGACAAGTTAGGATGCTCTTCTTTTTCTTTGCATTCCATGGGCAAACACGATGGTGAGGAATAAATATTATGCTGATCTTCCAGAATTGTGTTGGCTTCACCTTAGCGCAGTGATTGCTGGTTTAGCATCGGGTTATTGTTGGTTTAGTGTTGGGCTATCACTGGTGCAAAGGGCTTCTCAATAGCCCTGCGATATGGGGTCGGTGAGAAAGATTTTGGGGCTTGGGAGGAACAATATATGTTTTGCCGGGGCCTTTATTCTTCAAGGAATATTTGCAAATTCATGAATACGTATACGCACATCTGGCACACGCACATAGCACTCTTCACCGGCAAATTCCAGAGCTTCAGGCGGACCCCCGAGTGTACATTATTGGACACCAAAAAGGCGCTTGGGTCTGAGCCATCCGCTTGCGAGAACTTGGTGGCTGCCAAAGCGGCAACCAAGACGTGCCATTTGGGAGCCCGAACTGTGTGTCTGCCCAGGTTGACCACCGGAGCCCTGTGGCCAGAGCCCACAACAAACAGATGGTGCAGGGCTTGTCCAAGGATGAAACTCGGCCCGTGAAGTGCGGTCGTGGCTGCTCCTACTGCTTTTCCATGCTTACCAGGGACCTCCTGAACAAACGGAACGCCAAAGCGTGTCGGAAAGGTGCCCAAATTTGACACATTATGATTACGTGTGTTTCATGTTTAAAGGTATACATGATGTTGGATTTGCTATGCCTTTATTAGCGTATGTATGGATGGATAGATGGATGGACGCATGGATGGACGGATAGATTGATGGATTCACCTCTGCTGCATCAGGTGGTGTTCATTCTAGCTACTTGTTTTAGGCCCAAATCACAATGTTGTTCGATGCGAGAATCTGCCCGAGCCTGGCATCAATGCTGCTGACCTGTTCAGTTGGCAAGCTTTAAACCTCTTGCGGGCAGATGTTTGATGATTTTAGCCAAGGCCCAACCTTGCTTACAGTCATCTGCCTTTTTCAGGCTGGCAATCAGGATTCCTTTCTTTGGTGGGATTAGAAGAGAGCAATTTAAACATGACTTGCGATGATTTCCGCCCGGGAGCTTATATGGATTGTATTGGTTGAGCGTGCGTGTTTCGAATGTTCTTGTTACCGGGTCAGATAGTCACTTTGTCCGCATGTTCGATGTGTGACAAGCAAGTTGCCCGGGCTATTGTTTTTGTTGGCTTGCAAAGGACCAGCGTTGCCGGAGAAGAAGCAACATTTATAGCCTGGGCAGAGTATTTGGATCTCGAAGTTTGTGTGAGATTCACGGCCGTCATTCGCCTTCTTGTTCGGTTTGTGCAAGACGGAAGGCTAATTTGTCATTTGTGCCGAACTGAGGCGCCATGCCTGGCCCCTTTTTGGCAAAACCACGGCTTTGGGGGAAAGAAGGCGACAAGTACAAGTACAGCCAACAAAAACAAGGTGCCCTTTTTCATGCTCTGTGGACTTCTGACCTCTCCCCAGTCGGGTGACGCGAACCAAAGATTTCAGACCAAGGAGGTGATTGCGGCCGCTGCTTTCTTACGACAGCGGTACCCTCAGCTTTTCCGGCAGATCTCACAGCTCCTTGGATGATGGGTGGGTTGAATTTGGCCAAGCTTACCTCACACTTGAGCAGAGTTGGTTTTTCCTTTTCTTCTAGTGCATAGCCCGTAGGCATCCAAATACTCGATGGTCATGGGAATGAATAAGTCATCAAGATAGGCCATGTTCCCAACCACAAATCCGCGGTGTGGTTACAGAAAAGCCACAAAGGAATCGAGGTCAGCTCTGGGCCTTCAGCAGGCTCCGTTTTTTGGTTCTCTTTCGGCTCTCTTTGGTCCTCGTCCTCTTCGGTTGTGTACTGGTTTGTTATTACCGCTTTTTATATCCATGGAGCGTTCTAGTTTCTATTCCCACTCTCAAATGTGGTCGCCCCTGGAGCATTCACTTGGGTACTGGTAGCTGTTTTAGTAAAGGATATCATTTAGATTTTGGCTGTTGCGGGCCTGGGTGAATCTCAGTCAGTTTCGCTAGCTCGGAATTGGCTTATAGTCATTTCTTATAGGGCACATGTTTTTTGCCCTGGCAGCCATATTTATGTTCACCTAGTGAAGCACCATGTGTGGAATCTCTGTTTTTGTGTCGGGGAACATGAGTCAAGCTGGAGCAAAATGGCGGCTGAAGATCACACCTTGACAAGTATGTCAAAAAAGCCTGAAACTTCGATTCAACCGTGTGCGTGTGTGTGTGTGTGTGTGTGTGCGTTGGTGGCTGGGGCGGCACCTTGACATTCTTTGCAACACGAGCGGTGTTCTAAAGCCCCCAGCAGTTGAAAGTATTCGGGAGGGAGTATCCTTTTCAAATTGTTAATTTGTCCTGGTCGCGGAAGCGCCGCCGAAGGTCCGCGGAAGGCGCTTAGCATTTATGTCGCGGAAGCTTCGCGGAAGAGCCGCGGAGATAAGAAGTTGGTGTTTTCGTGCACGCGCGGAAGCGAAAGCAAACTTCAATCCCATTTCTCAATCCGCGGAAGCGACGGGGAAGCGGTTTCCTCTTCAAAACCTCTCGCGAAAGGAACCTTTCATGCGGAAGCTCCTTCGGGGAAGGGATTTGATATTTCTCTTCGGCCGCAACTGGGTTTAGAACACTGCTCAGTGTCTTTTCTGAGAACAATCAACAAACAGCAAACACCATGGTATGATAAGATGCTGAACGATGCATATGCCCAGCAAGTGTGGTAATGTCCAACGTTGCCTCCGAGTATACCCACTAGGGCTCACGGCCCATGCAAATATAATTTCTGTGAACTCCCACCAAAGGCAAAGCTTTGGGAAGTGGTGCCTGTATGTTCAAGGCATACCCTTGAGTACTGATCGTGGCTTGGTTTCCTCGACACTTACAGCTCTGAAATCTCCATTAGATTGCAATCTTTCCCACCATCCCGCCTTGCTGTGCTCTTTTTGGACCTTCCCCAGCTTCCCCGCTTCCCCCGCCTTCCCCGCCTTCCCCACCTTCCCCACCCCACCTTGTCCTCCCCACCTTGTCCTCCCCATTTTTCCGCCCGTCCCAGCGTCCACCCAAAAGCCGCCGGCCTCCGAGGACGCGGCTGGAGGCCTTCCTGCTGCGGAGCCGCGTGGTGGGCGAGGCGGACGCTTTGCTCTTCGAGCGGCTCACGCCGGCGCCTTGCGCGGCGCTGGTCATCGCGGGGGAGGCGCCTCGTGCGTGCGAAGCGCGGCGCAAAAGAAAGGGGCGAGATCTGGCGAACTCAAAAGAAAAACCACCATTTGGGGGACCAGGCGAGATCTCTGGATTTCGCAAGCAGGTCTTTCTTAGAGGGAGACCCCCAGTCAACAACAGCCCCTTTGAGATCCTTTGAGGAAGGTTCTAAGAACCTTTTCGAGGGAGGTGGGGCCGGTGGTTTCTCCGTGACCTTGGCTCGCTCGTTTCGCCAGGTGAAGGTCTTCGCAGGGGCAGAGGCCCACGAGTGCATCCTGGGCCCCTGGAGTCTCCTGGGCAAGCGCTGCCTCGAGGAGGCCAAATCCTCGAAGAGTCGTGCCCCAGCGGACAGAACAAAGTGAGAAACACGACTTCTTTGGGGGAAGGGCGTCACTGTCAACATGGAACCTGACTGGATGTCCCAAAATGTGTTTTTGCTCTAAAGGGCGCCTTCGGGTGGGAGGGGACGTCCGATTTGCGCAGACAGCGCCTTACAGCTATGGGATAAATTCAGTCACATCTGGATATCGTGTATGATGTTGATTCTTTCAGGGAGCCGTCTTCTTCGTTCGGTGGTGTGAACGAGGCCAATCGATTTAGCAACTTTGGCAACCCGTGAGTGAGATTCATGTTGGCCTGATTGGGCACCTGCACAGTTGGAGAGCACTTTCATATGGCCTTAAGGATGGTGACGCACTACATGGGGGTTTCTTGCTTTCCTTGCACTGAAATCAGATGGCGGAAGCAGGCTTGACAGGGTTTGCAAACAACTCCAAGGAGCATGCCAGAAGCCATGTGCTGTTGGCTTCTGTGTTTGCTTCATCTGCCGGATGTTTGCCTGACACGGCTTGACAGTCGCAGTCGCCTCGTGCATTCCAGGGGCCGCTGTAGACGCTTACAATTGTTTGGCCCGCATACGCTTGTGAAGTTTTCGAAATGTCTGGAACCCCCACAAATCGCGTTTTCAACTTTGACCTTGTTTCTCTTGCAACTATCCAAGAAGGGCTTGCCTATTAAGACCGTTTCTGGCAGTTTGGACCCTGTGTGTGTCCCAAGTATTCGCGTCAACACTGTTTGTCCTGTTTGTGGCTTGGTGTTGGCAAAACTAAGCCACTCTCGCGCCTGCCTTAACTCCCGAAGGGAGTTGCGTCCTGTCTGAGGTTACATCCCAGATTTCACAGCTCGAATGGCAGAGGCCAAGGACAACGTTGGAGCGTCCAGGATCCTGCTGATTTCGGGCGAGGCATATGGCAACTGGTTGGCAGATGTGCTGCTTTGGACAGGCTTGGTGCTTCCGCTGATCCAACTTGTTTTGTCACGTTTGTGGAGTGAATTGATGGAATCTTACAGTGTTACTATTTTTGCCAAGAGTCAAATTCAGGAGAAGGAGTTCCCATGTTTGCTCAGTTTTTAAGTACAACTTGTAACATGTATAAAGCAAATAGAAGTCTAGCTTTGCACAGATGGCCTGAAAGTCAGTTCGTCTTGAGATCCACAAAGGGACATGGTCCGCTTATGAACTGAGCCAGTGACTTGCAGATATGTTGTATTTGACTTCAAGAGTCACATGCAACAGCTTGCAAGGTTGCTGTACCCTGGACCTCAAAACGATGGCTTTGTCCACACGCGAACTTGGTGGTCCTTTTGTTTTCCGTTTTCCAGGGAGACATGTTTTTCCTTGCGACATGGGTTTGGAGCAACTCTGGGTAGTGTCTCTCTGCAGACCGGTTGGCATTCCAAGGCAATCTCCTCTCCAACAGCATGAGCTTGTAACCTGCGAAGCAGGTCAGCGAATTCGAAGCAAGCCGGGCATTGCCATTTGGAAGATCTTGGAAGCCTTTTGAAGACCTGTTTGTCTACCCAGAGAGAAAGAAACAGGAGCCACAACTAGCTTTTGCCCTGGAACACGGAGTGACGAGATTGCGGATGTTCAATTGCAGTGGATGCCAGGCTTTGAGAACGAGCATGCTGCCTCGCTCCTGTTCTGATTTCTCCCATGGAACCTCACTTGGGTGAATTCTTTCGATGTGCTTTTTGGTTTTGCAGCCAGGTCGATTCAAGCGCAAGACAGGAACATAATGCCTTCCAAGCTTGGTGCCTTGCAGTAGCAAGTAGCAGGCACAGGTTCCCTTCTGTTTAGAGGCAGATTGAGAGAAGGCCCTTTTGGCCGGGCGCTGTACCGAGTGGACCTCGTAGCAAGTTGGCATTCCTGCTGGTGATTTTTGTTCAGGGTGGAGCAACCAATCAGTGAGAATTGTGGGCTCAGAGTTTGTTGAAGAGTATGTTTGGATGCTTTTGGGACTTTTGCTGTCAGCAATTTTCATTTGGAGCAAGTCAGTTGGCCTGTTTCGGGCTGCAATGCCAGTGGCTCAGTGACGCTGAGCATTTGCGGCGGCCAAAAAAAGCACAGGTGCTGCAGCGCTGGTTGGGCGGCATCGCTTGGGAGTGTCTGTACTCATGGTCAGTACCCCACAACCCCTTGGCAAACCAATCCCGGCCATCCCTTGACCATCACCCGGGGGGGGGGGGGGTGGGGGGAGTATGGTGGAGAGTTTCCTGATTTTTATTCTGCGTACGTAAAATCTGCCTGAGGCCCCTAAAATGTTCTTTTTTCAGCACCACTTGGAAAAATGATGTTTTTGCGAAAATTTGAGCACCAGATCGTTTTGTTTAGCACCAGAACGGCTTTTAGAATCGCAACACGCATTTTTAGTTTTACGTAACATGTACGTCATGCGAACGGTTTGCGAACGGGTTTTGAACGGGTTTTGAACGGGTTTTGAACGCTTTACGAACGGTATTTCCAACACCAAGTCCTAGACACGGCCCATGACGCAAAAAGAACGTAAACATGCAACGGATTATGCAAAAATAACGCAATCGATGGATTCCCAGCAAGCGACATCAGCAACACAAGGTTCGGTCTGCTCCGCAAGCCCGAACGGTTTTTGTAGCACCAGTGTTGAAATTTCAACACCAAGAAGGCAAAGCGATCATTTTCCTGAAAATCGATCAAATTCAACAGTTTTTGGGGCAGCAGGTGCCTTGATTTTGTTTCTGTCACCGTGGCCTCTCCTTGCTCCAATGGCGCGGCGTGTTCCTTCCGAGTCTTTGCCCTTAGGCGACTGGAGGTTCCTGGAAGACAATTTCCTGCTTTAAGGGAGCCTTTGGTGAAGCCCGTGTTAGCGTATGTCTTCCCAGCAGCCATGCTTGCAAAGGGCAACGAGCCTTAGAGATCTGAGGTGAATTAGGAGTGACATCCTTCCCGCTATCCGATAGGAACAGACGCAACATTTTCCATCACTTGGTTGCTCTTTCCTAGCAAGCCACCTAACAAAGCCAAAAAGGCAAGCCAGAGTCTAGCCACAGGCAACAGGCATAAGTACGACGACAAACGTGACATGGGCCCGTGATTCGTCTCAATCTGTGACTGACCGGCTGAGTTACCGACTGACTTACGCCAAATGCGGGCACTGTTGTATTCATGCATTCCACCTTGTTTCAGCAAGTCTTGCTGTGCGTTTTTGCAAGCTATAGAGAACGACAGAATGGGTGTGTCAACCAATCGGGCAGGTTTGACTAGGAAGAGTACAGTGGTTCTTGGAAGGACAACAGCAACATGGACGAAGCGTAGGTAGATGCCACTTGCCGTGTACAGTTGAGGGCGGTAGATGTGTCTTGCAAGCTGCATCGCGTTCGCCTCACATGTTTGTTCGTTAAGCACTTGATGACGGCATGCTCTCGGTGAACACTTATCAAGTTCGGCATTATGTCCGGCTTGTGAATGGTGGTCATTTGAGTCACAATCAAAACCCGGGTAAGTGAAGGTTAGTACGGGACAATCCCAAGCATAAATAGCTGCGGATCTCTGCCTTCATAATTCTTTACATGGTTCTGGGTCGACCATGTTAATACCGGGTTTTGATTTTGACTCATTTGCCCAACTTGATCCGACAATTGCCGCCTTTGCGGTTTCCAATGTTTCCACTCCTTGGACACAGGTCATCGATGCCTTGTGCGGTCGCTGGGAGGCAGCTGCCCGGCTGCAAAAGAGCCCATAGGTGTCCTTTTTGGTTGTTTTGGTAGAACAATAGATGGCCCTGGTTTACCTGGTGGTTTAATCAGCTACCAGGGCCATCTATTTCCCCTAAAAGGATACCTATGCAAGAGCCGCTAGGGGCCAGATGTGCGGGGGGCTAAGGTTGGGCATCGCTAGGATCAGCTGTGCGGATCTTCAACCGAGTTTGCCGCTTCAACAAACCTGACAGCTGAAGGCAAAGGGCCCGTTTTAGTCTATTTTAGTGGGGATTGGTTGATGTTGACTGGGGGCTAACCGGGATCTTGACTCATGGCCAGATGACGCGCCCGGACTCCGGAGGTCTGGAGCGGCGCCTTCACTCCGCTCTCCAAAGTGGGCCTTCCGAAGCAGTGCCTCTGGGTAGAGGCCGGAGAGTGGGCCCTGAAAGGATGGGCGAGGATTTGAATCCACTGATCTTCAGAGGGTTGAGCATGCCACTCTCATGGACACATCTCGAAGGGCAATGGGAGGAAGGAAGACCTGGTGAAAGGATTGAGGAGCTTTGCGTTTTGGAGGATCCTCAGCTCCGGGCGATGAAATGGGAGAGCAAATGACATGTTGGGCAGAAGACGCATTGATCGCTCAAAGATTCCAGGGCTCTCACCTGCGCTTCCAGTGCCGATATTGTTTCATGCAGAGGGCCGCTTTTGCAGCCACTCAGTGAGTGCCAGGAGTTTCAGCCATGCTTTGTGTTGCCTTGTCCACATGTGGCAGCGTATGCAATGGCATCTGGAATCTTCCTTCAGTAATGTACGACCTGCAACAAATGCAGATCCTTGAGCTTGATTGCCCTTATTCAAGAAGCAAGTGAACGTTGCCTGTAGTTGATTGACTAAGTAATTCAGTTTTGACAAACTGTGCAGCTAAGCCGCCCGCCACTCCCTGTTTCAGCACATGTCAGCTACATAATGCGGCAAACATAAGTTCTTATGCTATCATATTTGGCTTATCGTGTTCTGGCGAAACAGACTTCAACATGTCTGTTGGGCATAATTTTGGTTTCACAGATTCACCAAAGAGTCCCTAATCAAGCATGATGCCCATAAACCACCCAGTCACTGGCTATTTTGGACCTTCTAGCACCCAGCTTTCAAAGAGTGTAGCACCCATGAATTGCTACACTAGCCCCGTGACCCAACCCATGTTGGTCGATTGGCTTGCCCTTTGCTAAGTGGCCAAGGCTCCAAATCCAAAGACATTTAAGTCGCAATCAACACCCGGGTAGATGAAGGTAGGGCCAGTCCCATCCGGAAATAGTTTCGGCCGCCTTTTCAATTCCTTACATGGTTCTGGGTTCACCATTCTTGTACCAGGTTTTGATTGTGACTCATTTGGACAAGTCCCATGGGAAGGCAGGCGCCTCTCGGCTGGGTCAAGTGAGGTGTCTGCAGAGGGTGCCAGCCCTCCAGTGGTCACAGCTCATAGTCGTGGCCTGAGAGCTCGACAGCTCGACCGCGCAGGGACAGATGGGAGACGACCGCTAAACCCGCTTCACGAATCTTTTTCAGCTATACCTGAATGAAAGCTGCTGTGGATGGACAAAATCCTGCACCTCCCAAGACACTTCCCATTGTTTGGTATTTACAGGGGATCATATAATTCTAGGGTTTCTTAGGTGGTGCAGGATTTCGTCCATCCACAGTATTAATAAGTATCCGTTTCCTAGACCCCCAGATCTCCGACACGATTTTTGGAATTCACCAATTCTACACCAATATTTAACCTGCCGTATTTCGAGCCAATTCCGACGCCGCTCTTGTCAATGGGGCCATTCCAGCACATGTTTGTCGCGAAAGACTCTTGTCATATTTTCAAGCTCCTTCTTTAATTGGTTTTGTTTGAGTTTGAATCGCAAAAAACAGCAGAACAACCTTGAAAGGCTTCTGACAATTCGCTACTTGGGAAGTTGCAATGTTCATTTGTTTCGTGCCCGGAAAAGGGGGAGAGATCCCATTTGCGCGAGAACCGAAGAGGAAATCCGGTCGACTGCTGAATACCCTATGAATAAATATCGTTTTGGCCCCAGATAATATTTGCTTTTTGTAGTTTTTTACCAGAGGCCGTTATTTGTATGTATTCCATGGTAACCCCCCCATGGACCCTGGTTTGGTGCGTTTGACCTGCATTGTCCTGTGTGTTATGCCTTTGTTTGCTTCTTGGATGTTGTGTCAAAACTAGGGGGCGGGGGTGCCATATGTATGTATGATATGCATGCATGCATACAGATGTGATAAAAGCAATGACATCAGCATCAGCATCAGCATCAGCATCAGAATGCATCCAATAGTGCAAGAACAACTCAGTTTTTGTTGTTGTTTAGAAAGCAATGCTGGATTCAAGATTCAAGATTCAAGAATCTGAGAAAATAGTTTCTGGGGATCTTGAATCTTGAATCCTATATATATATATATGTATATTTGAAATGTTTGGATTCAAGATTAAATAATGAGAGATTTTTTTGTCTCAGATTCTTGAATCTTGAATCTTGAGTCCCATAATTTCTAAAAAATCGCAAAACAAAACAATCCCGAGATTGTCCCAATACTCTCGGTGTTAAGAACAACTTGAGCATTGTTAGGGGTTGACCAGGATGGATGATTCTCAAGACAGCTGTTGTTTGTGCACTCCTCAATATTGAATCCTCAATCCAGTGGTAACGCACTTTCAAATGTTCGAAGAACTTATATGTTGTTTGGGTTTGGCCAGGATTGACAAATTCTCAGGATACTTTTTTGTGCAATCTTCAATCTTGAATCGTCCATCCGGTGGTGAAATACTTGCAAGTGCTTAGCGATCCAGTGGAAGCACTTTCAAGTTATTTGTTAGACACACTTTCAAGTGCTTTTTGTGAGCTTCATGTCAGCGATTCTCATGTTGACCCTTTTCCAGGAGGTAAACAAAGGTAGGAGAAATGCTCAAACACACTGTATTTTCCAATATTGTATGATGAGGCGCAGGATCATTCGGGGTACTATATATATATATATGTGTGTATGTACTTGTATATATAGATGTACATATGTATGTATGTTCACACACCGTCACCCCCCGCTCTTGAACTACCTGTCCACATTTGCTCATCTACTACCTCCACTTTTTTGAGATAGCATGCATTTTGTTTCCTGTGCAAATATAACTTTAACTGCAACTGATTTAGCTAGAATCCCTATTTCGATATATTTTTAGAATTTGAACCTCCCTTCCCTTGAAATGTCCCTTTGGAACACCGTCTACCAAGTTCAATGTCGGACCTTTCTTATGCTACAAAAGGGCCCGAATGTAAATAGCACAAGTCGTATTTTTAATTTCCTTGTAGACGTCCCTTAAATGTTTAGCATATTTAATATGAGTTATATGTGAGAAGTAGTCTCCATTTAGTTGTTATTCTCAACAGCTAATTGAAGTGTGTTCGTATTAGACTATATTTAACACTTGGATTACATTTGAAAACTATACCCTTTCTAAACTATATTCACTATTCCAATTCTATTTGAAGTAAAGTCCTATTTGGAAAGGGTATCGTATTGGGACATTGTGGAGGACTCCGGGCTCCAAATTATCAGGCTTTTGGAACCCACAATTGGAAATTTCGAGAATATAAGTTTGGAGATTCTGGATTTGCCATCCCCAAAAGGCAGTAAAACCATGTTCATGGGGGCGGGGGGTTGCATATATATATATATATATATATATATATGAGTATATGTTTGTTTCCCGGGGGGATCGATTAACACCCAAACCGTTTACTTGCCTTCAGGTCCGCTACTACGTACTCAAGACCAGCTAAAAGCATTTGTTTCCTTCATGTTGTCAGACGTTGCAAGTCCCAACTCTTGGGCGTTATCCAACGGCTGTCAGCAAACGTGTCGGCAATGGCAAGGGTGATTTCCCGCTAGCCACTTGCTTGGCATGAGGGAAGACCGCTGCAACATCACAGGGATGGTTTCCTTTTTGTTCGAAGTTTTGTCAGATTATCACAGAATTCAAATCCGTTGGTAGGACATACACGAAGTGACTCCTTTCTCCAAAGCAGGCTTGTTTGATTGCAGTTACAGACTACTCATCTTGCTCATCTTGGTTTCGCGTTTTTGAGGGTAGCCTTTTTGGCGCTGTTGAATGTGGCAAAACAAACCAAAACCCATGTGAGCAGAGCCCGACACTTGGTTGGTGAGGCCGTGAGGCCCATACCAGACTTTAAAGCCAGTAGAACCAAGTCCCTGCGTGTTGGGCGCTGCTCGTTTTCGCTTCCACAGTCCCTATATTTCATCACTCCACGAGGAGGCTCAGTTTGAATTGTCCTAAAGGCGCCACCGAAAACGGAAACCTAGGGAACCCTGTGGGAGACTTGAGGCGGCGTGCCGCTGCTCTTCGGGGCCTACTTGTGGACCTCCTGCGCTGGGGATTTGCTGCCGGCGGAGAACAGCGGGAACATCAGCCAGGCGAGACAGTCAAATTGGATGGACGAAATCCACTTAGCAGTTTCTAGTTTATCCCTGGGTCCCCCAGTAGTGCCCTTTCTCACCCCTTTTTTGGGGGAGGGTTCCCCTACTAAAATAGACTACAGAAAAAAAGTTGGTACCAACTTATTCTAACCCCTCTGCTGGACCTGGATCCCAGTCATTGGGTTTCATTCAGCTTCATCCATCACTCCATCACAGCTGCGGGATGTTGTCGATCCACAGGATCTGAACCGCCCCGTCCCTTTGTTTCCCAAAGAGGCCTTGTTCGAGCCTTCATTATACGTGGGAAACGTGGGGGGGGGGAGGGGGTGGGGGAATTTCATGAGACAAGGGTCAGAAAAGCCCCCCATGTTGCATACCTTTCTCCCCCCAGAGAAGTGGATGTTTGGGTAGGCTTCGTTAGGGGGATGTTGTTAGGCGGGTGGTTGTTTGGGTTCTGCTGTTTGGGAATGTGCCAAATGCAAGGTTGTTCCTCGACACACAACCAAAACACAAACACCATGACAGACATGCAATCTCCTGGAATCTGCGTGGTGCAGCTTTGACCGACTTGCTTCAATGGAAGCAAAGTTGGACTATTCGCGATGGGGCTGTTCCAGACTTAACTTGTTGCTTTCTGGACAACAGACACGTACTCTAAGCGTAGTTCTGAGTGAGCATTTGACCGACATGCAAGTCAGATCTATGGAGATGGGACTTGCATGAGCCAAAGCTTGGGATGAAGCTTGCTTGAGGTTGAGAGGGCTGAAAGGATAGAAGACTTTTCGGGGGAGACCTCAGGTCAGAAATCGGGTGATTGCATCACCCTGACTGAGGTCTTGATCCAGTTCAGCCGCCACCAGGATGCAGCAAGAGTAGCCAGTAGCCAGTCCAAGATGTTTGGCCGCCTGGCGTTCTTTCTTTCGGCGGCCTACAAGCAATCAATGTAATTACCAGCGGCACGATGCTTGCCCTGTTCAATGACTTGCCGAGATTTATGTATGTGTATGTGTATGCGTTTGCCTCCCTTGGGGGGGGGGTAGCTGACTAGGGGGGGGAACGGATGCCGCACATGAAGCGTAGAAGTTATCATGCAGGTGGAAGCTCGGCGTTAAAGTGTCTTGTAATTGTTTGAGGTGGCCCTTTTCCACATTGCATGATATTGCACAGCACGCTGGATCCTATCTGACTTTTTCCCTGCTATATGAGAATGGCAGCTAGGCAAGGGGTGGGGCAATGCTTGCTGAAGTGCAGCCTTGTTGCCAGACTGAGGCTGGTTGCCCCCTAATCCGACCCACTTCCTGCATGATGGCCGGTGTTGCAACTCATACTGGCAGCCGATGGTCGTTACTTTGGAATTGAATTTTGTTGTTGGATAGTTGCTAAAGTGGCCTTCCCTTGTTTGCGCAAACACCTGTCTATTTGCAGCAGTTGCTGCTGGACAAAAGGCACGTTGAGAGGTCTGGACGAGGGCTAGGGCTGATGTGGCATCCGGGTTTCAGCGCAGGTTTGCTGAACTCCGAGCTCTAATTCTGGCGGGGGTTACGCATTCGTATTATTTCGTCCAGAGGACTTCCTGAAAGAGCTTGGTCGGGCAAGCTGGCACCTTTTGTTCTCCATAAGGGCATGCCTTTGCAAATCTTTCCAGACCGGGGCGCGCGGGTCAATCTCACTGCGGTTAGAGGGCTTTTTCACTGGACTCCTTAGTGCGGAGCTTGAATCCGATGAATTGTTTTGGTAGCTCTGATGATTTCCGTGGGCATTGCTTCCATGCCGGGCATGTCACATTGTGGGACCTCTCCTGAGTGGCTCATTCAACACTGTGTTCATTTCGCCAAGGCTACTGGGTTGATATCGGAGGACGACCCAGAGGAGTGCCTCGGGCAGCTTCATGTCACCTTTGGGCCAATGTTCCTTTGTGCCGTACCGCAACGTGTCACGAGGAACCCTTGTGGACAGTGTGTAAATGAACCAAATGGAGACCCTCGTTTTGGCAGGTATTGTTCTTGTGCCATGATGCATACCCTGGATTGCTTCCGACTTCCATTCTGTGCGGCTGTTGACCAGTCAAAGGGCGAGTGGAGGTTGATGTGACACAACCACGAAAGAGTTCCTTTTAGGAAGACCACCATTTTTGCTGGATCGTCTCAAATCTGTTTGGGCCAACCCGGCGAATGCTTCTCAAGGCCAACTTGTACATGTGGTTGCTTGCAGAGTCGAGCGGCTGGCGGAATCATTAGTTTCTACAGTCTACCACTTCAAGTAGTCATCAGAAGCAGGGTAGTTGTTTCTGTTTCTTACCATAAATGAAGTCCCACATATTGACTTAGCGCACTGTGCTCAACATGATCCAACCTTTTGCATGTGTCACTGCTAGTTGACCAAACACCTCAGGAGCTGTTTGACTTGTTGCCTAATGAGGGGAAACCCACCCACCATACTGTACATGGACCAACTCCTGCATTAGTTGGGATGGATGAAACCTTATGAGTATTGGGACAAACCACCGACCAACTGGTGCAGGAGTTTGTCCATCCACAGTATTTCTTATTTGTTTCACTTTTTGATGCTTGCCTTTGCCAGGTCTGTGAACCATGCAACGATCCCAAGAACCTGACTTGAACATGGGTTTGTTTGTTTTCTTTAGGGCACCCCTTTTTGGTTGACACGGAAGCCAACAGATAAAAGGAAAGCCACACATTTTATCTGTTTTGGGTCTCCCTATGTTGACACATACCCACATCAGCAAAGTCCAGGCATATTCCGACGTTTCAAGCAAGCTGCTTGTGGTTGTATACTGAACTTCTGAATCCCTTGGGCATAGGAACATGCAGATGGCTCACTTCCCAATCCGCTGAAAACACAAGCCACAGCTTCCAAGGATGTTGGCCGCATCGATGGCGGCTACGTCCAAAACCGTTTGGAGGCCATGATTGCGACGTAGCCGCTCCTGGGTTTGTTCCTGGTGCCCTACTCAGCTCTGTCACAAGGGTTGACCAACCGGGCTGTGCTTGAGGGCTCAAAACCTGGCTGTTTCCATGTGTCCCACTTGTTGGCAAAGGGCTTGACTTTTTGCGGGAGTTTGGAGAGCAGCCCAGACATGCCAATCATGGTAGTATGAAGCAACCACTCCATGATCTACATTATTTCTGCCAGTACTTCTGCCTAGGCCAGGGATGTGTGTTTGAATGTGGCAGCTGGCAACGGATTGTGCATTTCGAGGTGAAACAGCCTGATCCATGATAGTTAGAGGTTGCCGATCCCAACTTGCCCACCGGCCAGATGTACAGTCGTAGAGATCCACAAGGAGTAATGAGATATGTGAGATACTTTGTCGATCGCTAAGACACTAGGACCAGCACCTAAGATCCTGTGCATTAGAATACTTTTGTAGCCATCCTCCTGACTGGCAAATATGCTTGGCTTGCTATATTTACCATTGTCTCTACTAAACTAGCAACAAGCAAGTTGCTAAGTTATGGGCAGCATGATGGTTGATCCCTGAAAAGAACCCTTTCCTGATTGCAATTAACCCCAAAGGCCAACAACCCACTACCAAGATAACCGCATGTTGCTCATGTGTCCTACAAGCTTCTGGTCAACAAGCTGTCACTGAAATCGGGCAAGGCCACAATTCTGGAAATGCACTCAAGAGGCCCTTTGAAATCCCTGTCAATCGTTTTTTGCTTCTTCAGAGGCAACCTAGTTGTAAGAAAGAAACTCGAGCAGTCTCTCTTGAGTGATGCGTTTTAACTGAGCCCACAAATTCTGGGTATCAATGTGGGGCGCTTTGGTAAACCCATGGGGCCGATCGGGCGTTAGTGAGGGCCGTCGGGAGGCGTTTGGCGCGGCTCTGGTGACCCCGGTGCTGCTGGAGTTTGGCGCACTGAAGTGGCTCCTGGAGCGTCGCTCGGTTTCAAAGCGGGGGTCGAGTTGAGTTGCTAGATACCCCAGTGCCAACTTCTACCAACTTTTTGGGAGGGTGCCCCTACTAAAATAGACCTTATTCTAACCTCTCTACTGGAGGACCTAGGAGGGCAAACCATGGTGCCAGGTCCCGATGCCGGTCAAAATGACGCCCAGAGAAACGCCGTTTGAGAGCGGTTGAGGGGGCCCTGGTGGTGGCTGGTTTTCTTGTTGCTTGTTGGTTCCTGTCTGTCCTGGAAAGCGGCGATATGGATGGCGTTGCTGGGGATGGGCCCGGTGTGTTGCGATTTGCCACCCTTGGTGGAAGAAGATAATCGTCACAAGAGAGAGTTTCCGTGAAACCGAAAATCGTTCCATGATGCCAAACTTGAGGCACCTATAGCTGAGCGTGCAATTGAAGTTGCTTTCGAAGATCCTAAGAATGGAGGATGTCAAAGGTGGTACAATGTTGCCTTCCTAAGGATCCACGAGTACAGGTTTTCGAATTTGAGGATGCTGTGCCTGAAGTGGAACACGATTCCCTCACACTTGAGTCCAAACCGTCCTGTCATACCAGAAACTCATGAAACCGCTCTGTCAGCATGCTACAATTCAGTGGGAACAAGTCCCTCAGGTTTCGGTAGCCCCCGGTAGGCACTCCAAGGCTTTGGCTTTCAGAAGGTCTTCGAGGTTGAAGTGCCCAAGGATGACGGCAAAACTGTGAAGCTGCAAGCCTCCCTGGACCGGAGTTCGTTCGGGGGGGGAGAAATCGCATCGATGTTGGCGCCTTTGTGTTTGCTGCTCTGGGAGGTGCTGATTGCCAGTGCTGCTGTTGCTGCTGCTGCTGCTGCTGCTGCTGCTGCTGCTGCTGTGGTTGTCTGACAGTGCCGCCATTGTCATGGTGGCCGGTCTTGCAAAGTCTTGTAGCCCTTGTCTTCGCCAACATGTGTCGCTAATCGCGGTGTGGCGATTGCAAGTGCAACAAAACGATGCTTTGAGGTGTGTGTGTGTGTGTGTCAGTGTGTGTGTGTGTGTGTGTGTGTTTGTTCTTCAAGATTCTGGAGCAGCCTTTGCTTGTTTGCCTTTTACAAGTCGAAGGTGGCCGGCAGCAATACTTTTTGCGCAGGGTGATTTGTTTCCAAAGTTACCGTTGTGCGTGCCATCAATGCTTGTCATCACCTCCTTACCACCACGAAAACCCTGAAAGAAAGGCAAGTCGCAGTAGGAGACAGATGCCCATGTTTCAACTTCGCTTAAACAAAAGCATTGTCATGGCTTGGTCACTTGCTCGTTCACTGGTATTATCTGGCTTCATTGCGTGACAGCCGGGAATGTGCTTCCAAGCTGGGCCTCTCCACTTGTGGATTTTGAAGATAAGCTGAGATACGTATACCTTGTAGTTGGATGAGGTGTGAATGTGTGGAGCATGGACAACTGGAAAGCTAAACGGAAGCATTCTAACGCGTCAACACGTTGCATTGGCCAGCCCAATGTTGAAGCCTTTAGCTCACGAAGTATTTGTAGGGGGTCAATGTTGCAGTCGTGACGGGGTCATGTGCAATGGTTGAGATGGACTCAGAGTCAAGAAGCATACTTTGATCTTTGATCAACCTTGGCCGCGAGTACAGGGAGGCCCAAGCGGGGTTTGTTCTACTTATACTTAGCAAGGGTTGCTGTTTCTGGAGGAGTACCACTTGTTTGGGTAACTGTTCGCGTAGGTTCTGACTGTTCAGGAAAACGTGCAGTGCAAAGGTCTGGCATAGCCCATCAGATTGCTTGCGCTTGCGTTCTACACCTGGACGCCTTTGCTGCAGCCCCGTCTGCAACAGGAGCTCTATTTGACGCTGCTGGCTCGGGTCGCCTTCCCAGACAGCCTCTCCACCTGCCCCGTGCCTTTCTTGGATACGGACAGGGGCCTTTGCGTCTACGAGGTGGGTTCCGTTGGAATCCATGAGACCAGTGGCTGTGTTGCTCAATTCTTGGAATCAATGTGTTTGTGTGTATGCCAGAGTAGCATAGGAATCAATGTGAGTGTGTGTGTGTGTGCATGCATGTATGCCAGACTTGCAGAGCTAGCATAGACTGTAAAGCTATCAGTATTGAGGGCCCCATCACAGAATGTGCCAACGGAATGGGAAGAACCTTGGAGAAGCAGTGCTGCATTCAATTGTGAGCGTTTTGCAAAAGTAGTATTGCGTGGCATTGCTTTTTGCCAAAGGCCAACGCTTTGCCAACGTGTGTGGTTTCCTAGATTAACGCGTCGCTCTCCTGGGGTGTCCCACACCTTGAAACACGCAAGGAATGCAACAAGATGGCTATATGAGTAACCGTCATAACTCGCGTTACTGTATCTGGAATATGTATTCGGTGGACATCGGTGTTACAAAAGTGAAGAAAGCTGCGGGAAGCGATGGGGGCGTCCCAAAAGCGATGTCCTGCTCTTGCATCGACAAACACAGAGTGAAGCTACTTGATCGCGGAGGTTCAGAGGAAAACCAGGCAGAAACCATCCATTTTCGCAAGTCTTTCACAAAACGACAAACCCAAATCAAAACTTGACAGCTGTTGGTTGCTAGATGTGCCAGGTGGCGTATGGCTGTGCTTGAAGCTAGACCCACCATCATAACATGTAAAAAGAAGATGCGCTGAAGCGATGCACAAAACGATGCCCGAAGCGATGCCCGAAGCGATGCCTAAAGGTCTTCAAGTTGCCCAGATAGTTGCCCATTTGGATCCTGAAAAACACTCGCCTTTGTTAGAAAGCCCTTGGTTTTGGTTTACCACCCTGCAGCAGAACCCTGCAAACAGCGCTTTGCAACAGCACCCCTGCGCAACTCTGAGTCTCGGCCTGCAGCAGCACCGTGCAACAGCACCCTGCAACAGCACCCTGCGCAACTGTAAGTCTCGGCCTGCAACAGCAGCATGCAACAGCATTGCAACAGCACCTATTTCTCGGCCTGCGGCAGCACGCTGCAACAGCACATTGCACAGCGCCCCGCAGCATTGATGCGCAGGCTGGTCGTGTAAGTGGAAGAGCCCCAAGGGGTAGCAATTAAGTTTAGTAGCGAAGGTTGGCTTGGAAATCATGACAACATTTTGTGATGTTTGGAACATACAATATGTAAGATTGTAAGAGCGATGCCCTGGAAAAGAAAAACAAACAACATGTGGGAAGCGATGGCAGCGTCCCAAATTGGCGGTGTCCACTGCGGGATACAAGGAGTTTAGACAGCCGCACATATAAGTGTCACCAGGCCTTCAACGCACCTTTATTCGGATGACATGATTCCAGGATTCCAGGCTCTCATGACCAAGATTTTGATCTATTCGCCAAGGTCCTGGTTGTGTTCTGGGCCTTTGTCTCGTCTTAACATGTCTTCACAATCTCCTGCCCTGGACCAGGGATTCCCACCCGTGAAACATATCAAAGGAAGCACTTACTTTGAACCAACAGGTGATGTCTAAAGCCACCACTGGAGAAAAAATCGGAAACCCGTTTTGGGGGGATCGCTTGTGCCAGTTGGCTGGGTTGGATTCAGTTTCTTTTTGCGCGCAGATCCCCATGCTGGGGCCCTTGGCGGATCTGCCCTTCGTGGGCGGCAACGCGGCAGCCCTGGTGGCCCGGAAGCTTCCTGAGGGCCAGGACTTTGAGCATCCGCTGCGCTGAGGCGACGCGGAAAAACCTCTTCGCCGAGTTTGCGCAAGATTTTTTCTCCCAAAGTGTGGGCGAGCTACCATATTATATGTATATATATATATAGCACATTTTGTGGATCTAGAAAATGGTTGGTCCTTCATCCCTCTGAGCTGGCATTGTTGCGGCCTTAGATATGTCATGCTCGATCAACATCAACAGTAGTCTCTCAGGTTTTGATCCCGCCAGCTTTCACTCTGACAAGTGGCATGTTCTTCTTTTATTGTGTCTGTTTTTTTCCTGAGAAGCTGAACATCCCCAGAACCGTCATCCAGAAAACATCCCTAGCTTTGATTGGGCATGCCAGGCAGGGAACTTATTTAAGATAGAATGGAGTGAGGCATCGCTAGCTTTGGACACCCTTTTTCACCCCAAGCTGGCGCTGATGGCTATGTTGTAAGGTGCCCATCCCATGAATGCCCCTCACATCCCTGTGCGCATGATCATGCAGGCTTGTTTGACTAGGCAAGCAATGGCAGCATGTTGCGTGCATCGTCAGCTCGATGCCTGTCTGGATCACATCCAACACACTCAGCCAAAACAATCGGGTTCCAAGATGCAGGCATCTCAACCGTTCACCACTGCGGCACCACACGCCCCCGTTTCATTAGGCCTTGTCCTGTATCCAGATCTCCCTGGGCAGGGAAGCTAGTGAGCAGCCTCGGTGAGCAGACTGAGTGAGCTCATTTTAATCCTGCCTGACATTGGCTCAAAATTTGGTCTTCCCACAACATCCTTTTGGTGCAATGGGAAACCTGGCAGAGCCTGGCCATTTGGTTTGGATTTAGTTTGTGCTTCTGACATCCGGTGAGTCCTGGTTTTGAGCCAAGAGTCCTCCAGCTCGTGAGCAGGTGCCAGGGCTGCCAGGCCTGCAACATCCTGCAACAGTACCCAATCGATTCAATTTTCCTGCTTTATGGTGAGGAATGCAGTTTAGCTGCGGAGCAAGTGGCGCGTCGCAGATTCGAAAACAAGCGCCGCAGATCTCAGAGACAGGGTTCAACATGGTTCGACAAGTGTTATGCTTGTTTTAAAGAATCCCCGCAAGAGACATAATTCCTTATGTGCTTACTGCTGGTGTTTTGGGTATGTCAGCTTAGGGCAAATGCGATGCCGTACGATGCTGCCACGGGAGTTATTTGTAACCCTGGAGTCCCAGAGCAATTTAAATCATCTTTGACCACATCGCAGTTGTTTGAAAGGGCATCCTTTGCAAACTTAGAAACTTTGCAACGTCGTGGGTCCTTCTGTTGAATTGGTTGCTGTTTTTCAAAGAGGGAGGCTCTTTGCACCGGCTGTGCATGCTCAGGCGTCATGAGAACAACCATGCCGTCCAACACGAGGCCGACATCACTGAGCCAGGATCTCGGAAGCTTCATTGGGGAGGGGCATGGGAGCTGCTCGTGAGCGACGATTCAGCCTTCGGGGCACGTGTAATGGCGAACATGGACAAAGGTGCGTCTAAGTGCACCAATTCAGTCGCGCGTGTGGACACTGAGCTTGAGGGACACCCGCGCCTGACACTTGTATGCACACCTTGCGCGAACAAGCTCTGTTAGTTTGGAGCGTTGCAGTGCTTCGCGTTGGGGTTCCCATAAGCATGGTGAAGAACACTACGGGGCTATTCTTGTAATCAAACAAGCAAGCTGACAATGTTCTCTTGCAAATGGCTCCAACACAACCCAAAGGAGGTCGCTGACCTTACAGTAGCCATCCACGGCAAAATCCCCGTTGGTGCAGCTGCTGTGTTCAGGTCTCGATGTGCAGCAGTACAGAACCACCTGAAGGCCTCTCGAGTGCGACGGGAGGTGCCCCAAAGCTTTGGCGGTGCCTTTCGTACTGGGAGCACCCGACTTCTCTCGACTCGGAATGGGCAACACCTGTTTTGCTTAGCCAGGAAGAGGAACAGATGTGAGGGCCGACAAAAAGGCCCATGCGCTTTACATGTATCGGAATTTGCTCTGACGAAAGGCTCGGAACCTTGGAGCGGCTATATACTTGTTTCAGGAAGGAGGCGCCAGGTTGCTCAAAGGTCAAGGGGAGAAACTTGTGTTGTCGGTGTTCTTGTGACTGCGTTTGTTTCACTTTGAGGAACCCGCTCTACCCAGGCGTGTTCGGGTTTTAGCAACATACACAGCAACATCGCAAGATTATTCGTAGCAACTAGTTGGGCATAGCGAGTTTCTTAGAGCTTGAACGACAAACCATGATACATCTACTGCCAAGATGTGTATCTCTGTTTGAAACACAGGCACCATATTTTGCCTTTCGCCGATCCGAAGTGCGCGCAGGTTCACAACCTGCGCATTGACATGCATGATGCGGCAGCCCTTCTGAACTTCAGAGGTCCCAGGACTGGGAGGGAATCTCGCAGACTGACTCAGTCGACTGAGCTACAAATTCAGATGAAAGCCAGAAAGGGGCTTCCCCAACATGAGACTCTCTAAACATGATGGATGTTTGGGTTTTGTGCAATCCGCCCAGGGGGGGAGGGGGAGTTTGCAAGCGAACAAGGGACCCTGGTGTATGTACCAGATGTAGCGCCATCGAGGGCATAGCCAATGGAACGACAAGCCAACAACCACGGAGTAGCTGCTTTCAGCTTCCAATTGCAGCGATTTCTCGCGTCCCTCACCTAAGAACTGGTCATGGCGGGGGGGGGGGTCATGATGCCTGTTCTGCAGGGAGGCGTTTTCTGCGATGTCTCGAGGTTGCCAGGCAGATCATTGTGCATGGTGACAAAGGTGTGTGTTGCGGACACTGTTGATGAAAGCGGTGTTACGTGTAGCGGCACTACGGCGAATTGTGTTTAGGACCGCAGATCCTGTCAATGCTTTCATGGTGATCCCATCGTTTGCGTTTGTTTCAGCCGCGGGTAATTTCATCCTTGCACGATACCTCCTATCCATTGTGCCGCTGTGAAATAACACCCTTTGCCAAATCGCACAAGTCATGAACCTGTCAGGGCATTTGAGACGTCTCGACATTCAGTGTGGATCTGCTTTCCCGGACCAATGTGCGATGTAGCTCACTGATCATTTCGGGCAATCCACGAACCCATGGTTTTGCTGGATCCAGCTTCTCACGGAACCCACTAGGGCTGCCAAAACACTGCAAACCGATGCTGAGGAGAAACAAAAGCGATACTGGCCGATACTAGGGCAAACGGATATAAAAGGGTTGTCCACAGGGTTCTTTCTTAAAACCCTAAGACTAGGCAAAGGGTTACAAGTCCAGCCCTTGTGTCAGCTTAAAATCGGAAGGTGGATTTGGGTCGAGTGCCCACCTCAAACGAGCTGGTTTCGGGTGACTTCAAATCGGTATCACCGGCTCAGCTATCGTAGAGCCCGTTCATGGATCACCTTTACAATGCAACCCGCCACTTTGTCACCCCAAAGCAATTGTTCAGGAGAGCGGGACATCAAACATGCATAACAATGCAAGATCTGGATCTAAGCATTCGTTGTTGACAAGCGTGTCTTTGCCCGGACCCTTTTGCGAAAATGCTGATACCACATCGTCACCATGTTGGGTCTAGTCCAGTCTTCGCATGGTGCGTTTGTGGCATTTTGTTTTCTTTCCGGGTGCCCAACGCGACCTCAGGACCCGGCAGCAGGGAGAGAAGCTTCTTGAGATCCTGGGCCAGGTGGAGCGACGCTTGGCGTGGGAAGCGCTTTGGTGGACTCTCGTGCAGATTTGTACGCCTCCCCCAGATCTGCCAGAAACCACGTGTTTGGATAACCTCCCTTTTTTGGATGACCTCCCGTTTTTGGGGGTATGGATATCAGCCTCTTGGATGATTGATGACTGCTTTCGTTGGTTCCTGTTGAAGAAAGCTATGGCTATGCCCTTTGTCCTGTGCCACTTGCGCGAAATTCACTGAGTGCCTCAACTCTAGAGCACCCGAACGCGGCACAGCACAGTCCATGACACGGACATGCAGAGTTTCAATCACAAACATGGAAACTCGCTTGTACACAAAGGACAACCAACCATCACAAATGTGTTTGTTGGACGAATTGTCACGGCCTTAGCTCGTTAATATGGTTGGCGTTGGTGGTGTTCGATAGCACAATTTATGTTCTTCCAATATTATCTTGAATCGCCGAACATGAAGGCTCCGTATTCCGAGATGGCAAGCCACAAACAAGCCACATATGAACAGACGTGATGCCCATGGCCAATGCCCTGGTGCTGGAAGTGTTCCCTGCAGGCCAGCAGGAAGGAGGTGATGACACGTCCCACGGTCAATTCACCTAGCTGCATGCTGCCCTCATGTCCGCATATTGGAGCAGTTGATTGCATGAAAGTTATCTCCAGGTTGGTTTGGGAAGTACAGTGGGCACCCAATTCCTAGACCTTTGCGTGCCAAGGATCCTTCTTTGCCACGTTCGTCAGGCAGGCCCTCGCGCGCAGAGGTTAGATAGGATAACCCCAACATCTGGTCGGCTTCCTTGCTACATCCAGCCGCTCGCCCCTGTCAGTGGACGGCTGTGGGTTCAACTTAAAGGCAGCCGAAGGAAGCCAGTCAGACATGGGGATGTGAACGGGCCGCAAATGGGCGAGTTGCTGTGATTTCCACGCAATCCCAATGGAAGCCGAGAGCCAGGCCTCCCAGTGGTGGAGACTTCTGGCAGGACTTTGTGGCTGGGCGCGAGGCCACGTGGATACAAAATGTGCGTATTTAGTAAAGCGGGGTTGGCTGCAGCATAAATTTTGCAGCAAGCCTCGCAAACCCATCATAGGGCCCCCACCAAAAACGATAACTACCTAAAAACCTCCATGACGAAGACAAGTGATTTTGACAGTAGCTCATGTGAAGTCTGTCTATGTTCCATGGGTCGGGTATGGGACTCTGTAGAGTTCAACCAAATTCAGGGGGCTCGGAGGCAAAAGCATGTTCAGGCTGGCTGGCAGCCAATGTTGACCATGGCTCACCTGAAAGTTCAGCTGAAAAGGGCATCTTGGCGGCT